TCAGTTGGGTTCGAGGGAGTGGATGGGATACCATAGCAGTGTGCCGCTCAATACTCATGAATTATGATGCTCCTTTTTTCTCCTATCATGGAAGATCAGTCGGACGTACAGTGATTGCCATCGTTGCGCAAACATGGTGGACCTTAATTCATCCGTACGCGCTTGCTTGCTTGATTGATTCTGTTGTAAGTAACTATACGCGTACGCCGCCTCCACTCTCGGAGAATTGCCAATCCGCATGGTAGATCAGAGGGGTGATGATCTGCAGTGGTTGCCTGCACTGCCAGCTTCGGTGTTTGTCGATCGGGTTTTGACGTGTCCGTAGCCAGACGATCGTTCAAAATAGTGCCCGATTGAGCGCGCACACGACAACTTTCCTTATTGGGATGCCTGGATGATTAACGAGATATCCTATAAAGAGGGAGGGTCGCCCGAAATGCGAATAAGCCGGATTTTGAAGCGGATTTTGGGGGGGATGTTGTGAGGATGAGGTTGGTGTCTTTGTAGGTATGGCGATATTGCACCAAGTCGCACTAGCTTTGCCGACTTGACATCGCGATAGAGACATCCCAAGTAGTTTGAGTACATAACTTCATTACAGACATTTTCTATACTTGTCAAATTTACGAGTGCGACATCATGTGTTCTCGCGTCATCAGTTCCATGGATTCATTGCTCGAAAAGCATACCGAGTACCTTGATGGAGCACCCGAGGTGCATCATGCTCATCAAGGTACTCGTTGACCTCGATATATTCTATCTCGTACTTTTGCTTCAATCTGACTTGTGAGCATAAAATTGAACGTCTACAGTCTTGAAATCAACATGCATGTACACGATGTTCTCATAGTCGGTGCCGGTCCATGCGGCCTAGCAATGGCCGCGCGCCTCCGCGAACAGACGCCATCCGCAACCTTCACCGACGACGAGCACCAGCGATACCACTGGATCCGCAAGCACGGCAAGAAGATGAACATTAAGAACTGGCGGACGCAGGAGAATTCACTCCCGACACCACCCTCAACCCCCGATACCTCAGACTGCGGGTGCGACCAGCACGAGGGCGCAGCGGCTAGGAGAACGGACAATGGGATAGATATGCTCGTTCTCGATGCAGACGGGGCAGATTGGATGGCGAAGTGGCACAGGCTGTTCAAGACCTTCGGCATCGTGCATTTGCGCAGCCCAATGTTCTTCCACGTCGACCCGTCCGATCGCGATGCCTTGCTCGGATATGCGTACGAGACGGAGAGAGAAGATGAATTATACGCTCTTCCTGGCTGCGTGGGGAAGGGGATAAGCAAGCATCGCAAGAAGAAGAAACGTAATGCCATGGGCCGAATGTCTCAAGGTGGTCCGGAGATCGATGAGCGTGATAGGAAGGATTACTATACGCCTTCTACGAAATTGTTTGCAGCACACTGCGAGCAGGTTTCGCAAAGGTATTCAATTGGGAAGGAAGTGATTCGACATGAGAAAGTTATGGACATTGAGTATCAGAAATTGGCAAACCTCCAAGATGCACAACTCGATGCTCTGCAGACTGAGGATGACTTGGTGGAAGAGAGGAAAGTCTTCAAGGTAACCACTGATAAAGGTGTTCGTTTTGCAAACATTGTTGTGCTCGCTGTCGGACCTGGAAATGCACCTTCGATTCCCAGCATACCAGGTCTGGAGCACTCGAGTGCTCATGCAGGCTACACTCACGCAATGCACTTGAAGCAAATTCCTCCGCCGAACATGGTGTCCAAGATCAAGATGAAAGCTCAGACTAATATGCTCATCATTGGTGGTGGTCTTTCGAGTGTTCAAATTGCCGACCTCGCCCTTCAGCGCGGAGTTTCCCGAGTGTATTTGATGATGCGTGGACCTCTCAAGATTAAGTATTTCGACATGGATCTCGAATGGGTTGGGAAATTTCGCAACTTCAATCAAGCCGCTTTCTGGTCCGCTGATACTGACGAAGGTTAGTACGCCTTGAACATTCTGTAGTGCATTTACTAACATCTAATTTATAGAGCGCCTCGAGATGTACCTGGAGGCCCGCAATGGAGGCAGTGTCACGCCGCGTTACCGCAAGGTTCTTGATGGACATCTGAATACTGGAAAGATTGTGCTTCATAATTTCACTACATTGGAGTCTGTAAAATGGAACGAGATATCTGAAAGATGGGCCTGCACCACTTCATCGTCGGACATTTGCCTTCCTCCCATCGACCACATCGTGTTTGCAACAGGTGTGCAGACGGACATTCGAACCATGCCGTTCATGCAGAGTATTCTGAGGGACCATCCAATTGAGATCATGGGAGGCTTCCCCTGTTTGACTGATGATCTTATGTGGTCTGATGAAGTTCCACTGTTCGCCTCAGGACGGCTGGGTGCTCTGAGATTAGGTCCTGGCGCACCAAACCTAGTGGGAGCAAGAATTGGTGCGGAGAGAATCTCATGGAACGTCCAAGATCTCTTAGACAAAATGAACGGTCGAAGAAGGACGAGTGGTCAGAGTGAGGATGAAAGTGATGGTGGTGATGAGGAACTAGCTGAGTACGCCGCAGCTCGAAGCAATCGCTATAATAGCTTAGTGAACGCTGGAGGGGACGAGTAGCAAGAGATTTCCTTTAGTCGATGAATCTGAGAATTACTTTGTCTCCAAGTATAGTCCATGGCAGGGCAGACTCACTTGAAGGCCTTCACCTGTCCCACCTTCACCTTGCTCGCTTCCACCGTGACCCGCACTGAACTATTTATTGCTCTCTCCCCCCAGCCCCAAACCTTCTCCCCTGCAACAACTTCGCACCCAGCAGACTGACCCAAGAGATCAAAAGCTGACAAGAAAGCAGACACAGGTTCAATACCTCTACGACGAACACGAAGTTGTTCGCCCCACACACACCTCCGACTTCCACTGGCCATCAACAGCCATGTCGGAGGTTGAGTACGAGGTTCGAGAGGGTCCCGCGGTGACCAACTCAGTGCCGCCCCTCAGTCGGGGCGGCCAAAGAGTTGAGATCCTCGGGATCACCCTCTTCCTCCTCCAGATCCTCCTCGTGGCGCTCTTCTACGTAGGGCGCTACATGACCAACAATCACCGGGGCATGGGCGCCCGGCTCGTCATGCCGCTGGCACTCTTCTGCCAGACGGCGAACATCGCCAGTTGCCTGGGTATGTAGCTTTACCTCCACCCTCATTCCCAAGCTAGTGAAAGAAAATACAACTGACTGACCTCACACCATAGTGCAAAACCGCATCGGGCTCGTAGGATACCCCATTGTCATCGCCAAACTCGTCAAACCAGGCGTGGAAGTCACCCTCTTCAAGGCCATGAAGGCCTCCGAGTACACCTATTCCTACGCTATCCTCGTCCCTAAACTCATCATCCTCCAAATCTACCACACCACGTTCACCCTGCGAAGAACAATCAAATGGGCCAACTGCGTGGCCGGGTTCCTCGTCTTCGCACACTTCGTCGTCTCCGTCTCCTTCTCGACATTCAGCTGCGAGCCGTATGCGAAGTATTGGAACGACTCGCTCGAGGGCACATGCATGGACATGATGCTCCAATTCAAGATCCTGAGCGGGATTAGCATCGCAGCCAACGTCATGCTGCTAGCGATACCGTGGTACGGGCTTCGAGACATGCAGTTCGACCACGCGACCAGAATGAGCCTGACGAGTACGTTCGGCGTCGCTAGAATGTAAGTCATCCCTCTTTCCCCTCCAAACCCTTCTCACCGGCATTCAAATCCAACAACATAAAGCTAACGTTGTGAAATCAACAGCGGCGTCATAACCAGCCTCCTCCGCCTCCACAACGCCCTCGTCAACGACATCACCAAAGACCCCACCGCCCACCTCCCCCGCTACCTCACCTATTCCATCCTCGAGCCCGCCGCGTACCTGCTCACCGCATGCTGCCCCGCGCTCAGAGCGATCAAGCGGCGTTTCCTAGGCCAACCAAATCTTACGGCAAGGCTCCTAGCTTTTCTCACCCGTAGCACGAGGGCGACGACGAACCAGACGGAGGATATTGAGTTACAGGAACTTGAATTCATCACGATGCCGGCGACGGTGCGGACGGAGAGTACGGAACATTTGATCACGGAGAACACGGAACAGATTGACGCGGAGAGTACGATGACTTCGAGTGCGGAAAGTACGCAGCAGTCGGACGGTGCTGAGACGGGCGAGAGCAGCAGTAGCAGCGCAGTGACGACCACAGATGTCGAGCCGAGGCCTGAGACACCGCGTTCGGCGCAGGCTCAAAGAGCTTGGAGTCGTTTTGAGTAAGAGTCGTCGCGCCAGTGATGAATTGTCGTTCAGCTCTTTTTGCCGTTGGCGAATACTCCAGGGTTGGAAATCGGAGAGAGAGAAAAAGAGAGGTGTTTGAGAGGGAGTGAGTTGGCCATTGACATAACATCTTGATGTCTGACCGATTAGGCGTACATAGAGTTCTGAGCACAGTTTCACCACAGCGTCATTATAGATTGAGATTCGACTGGGATTCAAAATTCAAGCAAAGTTTAAAAGCTTCATAAACAATAACGCCCGCTCTAAGTGAATGATCCGTGACCTATTTTAAGCTAAATGACTTCCTTCGTTCTATAGTACAACAACATCGCTCATCAACGTGCCCAGCGGCAGCGCCACAAGCCTCTGTAGCAGCGAGCCAAACTGGTTGACGAAAACCTCCGTCTCGGGCTTTTTCAAGCTCGCGTTCTTGAACTCAACGACGAGATCTACACCGCCCTCTACGGTGACGCATTCGAAGATCAAAGCCAGTCTACCCATCTCCTCGTGGAACGAAAGCCGCTCGCCGAAGACGTCACTCGGGATCGCGAGATGTCGTGGCTGGACGGCGAAGAGCGCTCTGAAAGTGCATGCCTGAGCAGCATCCGAGCTCGCCTGTCTAATCTGGGGTATGCCGATATGGCCATGCTGGACGGTACCGAGATTGGCCTGGCGCACGGCGTCGAAGAAGGTTCCGATTGTTGTGGTGCGGTTGACGCGGCTGCGGAAGGGCATGGAGTAGATTGTGGGACCAGCGGTGCTGATAATGGAATGGAGGGGCGTATCGCGGCCGGAGAACGTCATGCCAAACGTTACGTCATCTGAGCCAGAGTAGGCGGCGAAGAGGAGACTGAAGGCTGCTTGCGCGATGATGGCGAATGTGAATTCTGCGGGTCGTGCTGTGACGGGGACGAATTGGTTGATGATCGAGTTGGTGGCGTCAGGGCCTTCGGGGACGGGTGGCCATGATGGGGTGGGGCTGCCTTCTAATGTGGTTTTCCAGAACTCCATGGAGGGCTGAAGAGGTAGTTTGTTGATGTATGCGACGTAGTTCTTGAAAGGCGAGAGTGAATCGAATTTTCCCTGCAATCAGTCGGCGGTTAGCCTGAAGTTGTTATACAATTCGGGAAGTGACTTACCATTTTGCAATACTGAGCAACGCGCTCGAAGATCATAGAAAGCATGAATGAATCATAAAGCGCGTGATGACCCCCGAATACGAAAACAAAGTTACCCGAAGGTCCTTTACGAATTATGCCCAACCGCGCCAACCGAGTGCCGAAGTCCATCTCTACGTGGTCGTTGCGAGCTTTGAAGTCCTCCTCTGTATCATAAAAGTCCCATTCAAGAGATTTCATCAGCACCTGGAGCCTTCCTGCATCAGGATCGGCGACAATGCGTGTCCGAAGGATATCTGCTGATCGCACGACCCGGTCCCAGCCTGCCATGAATACATCAAGTGGCACTGTTGGCGGTGGCTGGAAGGTCATGGTCAAGATGTAAGTGCCCGGGCGCATGCGACCTGCATTTACGAGCATGTCCTGTACAGGAGTGGTGGGGTAGATATCTTCTATCTGATCCAAGTCCACTTTGCATGCCTCAGCACAGCGTGCCTTGAGGGTTGCAATGTCTGATGATGATCGTAGAAGGGAGAATGGATCTGGAGATGCATCTTGCGCTTGTGATTCCAGGAGAGTCATCTGTGACGCCATGTCGGACAAGCGAGGATGCGTCATAGTAGTTGACACTGGCAAATGAAATCCCTTTCTCGTCGCGGCCGTCACCAAGTGCATCGCAGTCAAGGAATCGCCACCTTGTCGAATGAAGTCACTGTCCGGTCCGAGGTTTGATGGATCGAGCTCGAGCACATCAACCCAAAGGTCTCTGAGTTGCTCCTCCTGAGGAGTTAGTGACCTACTTAAAACTTTATTAGACTTCGGCTCCGTCAAGGAGAAAGCCTGTAGTTCGTCCTGGGTCAAGTCAGATGCGATTTGGCGTAGCCTGGCAATATCCCGCTTGCCATTGGCAGTGAAAGGTACATGGTGAATCGGGACGTATAGCGTAGGAACCATATAAGCAGGTAACGCGACAGAGAGGTGCTCTTTCGCTTTTCGTAGTAAACATGTTCCGTTGGGGGTTAGTGACAAGGTAGAACCCTCATGTTCCACATTATCGACAGCATTGGAGGTCCTGACAAACACCAAAAATACAATGAGGGGATGTCTACTCCTGTGTCCTGGAGCATTGTTTGTGTTGAGGACTACACAGGCACTGTCAATATCACAGACAGCGTCTTTGATATGGTACTCAATTTCATCGAGCTCAACTCGCTGGCCGTGAAGCTTGACTTGGTTATCTTTACGAGCAATGAAGGTGAATGTGGCATCGTGTGCTTCAAGGCGTACCAAATCCCCAGCTTTGTACAGGCGACGTGGTGCGGCATTAGCAGGTCGTGGAGGGAGCCATGGAGCGTCTTTCTCTCCAAGGAAGGCGAGGCGTGTACGCTCCGGATTATGTAGGTATCCTCTAGCTACGGTGCGGCCCTCGACGACCAACTCGCCTGGGCATCCGATGGGCGCCAATCTGGTATGATCTCGAGGATCAACTACCCACATTCGACAGCCTGCTGCCGTTCCGAAGGTAGAGGGTGGCTGGCCGGGCTTTATGGCTTCACTGCCGGCACAGTAGATGGCGCACTCGGAAGGACCCATGACAAGATGTAGGGACACACTCTTCGCCCAATGTGCAACGTGTTTCGGCGAAGGCTTCTCGCCGCCGAGTAGGAGCCGGCGCAGCGAAGGTATGTCACTAGGGTCCAACAACGAAAGTACAGACGGCGTCAAGAATGCCCAATTGATCTGCAATTTCCGAGCTGCTTCGGCCAGGTTGTCAACTCTTTCTTGCTCGGATGGCGAGCAGACGCATGCACCGCGAGCAAGAGCATAGAAGATGTCTCCTACACTAGCATCGAATGTGTAGGAAGCAAATTGGAGGATTCGTGTTCCTGGGCCAATACCAAAGCGATCTGACATAGCTTGGCAGCTCGTGGCCACTGAGCCATGCTCGAGGATAATGCCCTTGGGGGTACCAGTGGATCCAGAAGTAAATGTAAATGAGGCAGCATAATGAGGCTCGGGAGTAGGTAATGGGAATGTAGCCTCTGTTGCAGGGGGGAGTGAGGCAATGAATTGCTCATCGACAAGGAGCCCCGGTAGTGATTCGCGGGACTTATGTTCAGCAAGACGCTCTTTGTTCTGCTCGTCTACAATCAATAGAGAGACGTTGACAGTAGCCTGGCAGGCGTCGAGAATAGCCGACTGGCGCTGGACTGGGTTTTTGATACCCAAGTGGACAAAGCTTGCACCGGTTCGCAGGACGGCTGTCATTACGACTATTGCTGTTGCCGATTTGTCCACACACAATGCAACTGTATCCTGGGGCGCGACCCCTCTACGCACCATTTCTAGGGCCAGCCTTTCGGACATGTCATCAACCTCGCCATAGGTGAGGTTCCGATCCCAGGAACATACTGCCGGTGCAGAAGGTTGAAGACGAGCATGACGCAAGAAGAGACTGACCAATGTCTCATTGACCACTGGGGCTTCCTCTTCGTTCCATCGCAGCAGATACTCTCTATCCAATGCACTGAAGATGTCCACGTCTCGAATGTATGTTGTTGGGTGCAATGTGCGCAACTGGTGGACGGCCTGTTCCAGATGTGCTAGCAACAGATCGATTTCCGTCTGTGAGGTATGGACGCCTGCAGCATGGATAGCGACGTTATCTCCAATGCTTTCCTCCCCGCCAGGCCCGCCGGCGACTGTTACATTGATGGCGGGGCCGAGTGTGACGGCGGGTGCGGGTGTGACGCCATTGCGTGGATGGCTTCCGACGGTCAGCGTGCTAGGGAAGGGTGACAGGCGGGCAGAAGACTTGTTCGACAGAAGCTCCGCCGAGGCCGCCTTCTTCAGCTTTTCCCTCACTTGGCTCAGAAAGCCACAAATGTCAGTCTCGGCGGGGAAATTTAAATGGAGAATGCGCATGCCATCATTTGACAATGTTTGAGAGTGCCCTCCAATTGTGTAGCCGAACGATACTTCGTCAGCCTCGCCGTCGCCGCTATGTCGTCCCAGCACAACGGCCCATGCGGCGCAGTACAGCTCCTCCGCGGAAAAATGGCCATATGTAGGTAGGGACTCCAATGTTTTGAGGGTACCATTGCTTGGTATGGTTTCTCCGACTGCCATTGTTAATACCCGGTATCAAATGTGGTGGTGTCCAGATTTGTCGTCTCTATGTGGCCGCAATTACATAGTACAATGTTCAATGTATGTATGGAGAGCGCGCACGCAAAATTTGATCGTAGTAAGACAATAGGTACTCCAGTCATTGCCCGCATGCGTACCGGCACTCACTTTTTATTTAACATAGGGAAAAACATGCAGGAATCGTCCAGGCCAATGTCGCCCCAGCCGTCATCTTACCTAAAACTTGCGTGCCATCAGCATCGGTTATTGTCCAGAAGAATCGTTCAAGTCGAAATCCTCGTAATTGTGACCACCTGCCCAAACGAGTATAATAGCAGCTCCCCGATAAGCCGACACGAACATTAGGCCAAGAGAAGTGCGTACGTAGTGTGAGCACCAAGAGATAGCCATAGATGGGCGTTTCATTCCTCCATATGTTTCTTGTCGGAAATTTTCAATCATCTCTCTTGGTGTACATCCAATATAGCACCAGGTAGGTCGTAGCATATCTCATAGACAGCCGCGCTGTCGGTTTGTACCATGAATTCGGTACCAGAACAATGGTTTTCTTTGCTTACACAGTAGTAGGAGATTAAAGTTTAGAGTGACAATGTGCGAGGAATCCATTCCAACACTAAATGTCTTAGTGCAATCGCGCTAGAATTGAATCGTAAGTCGCATTTAACATTTACGAATCTGCTACTTGGCCTTGGCCTATGGCGGCAGGGGACTGTTTGCAATGGAACAATCTCTGAGCATTGGCACAAGTGCCGGCAGCATCATCATAGTTAGTCCAAACGGTGAGAATCGAGATAGGAAATCAGCCTGCAATCTGGACCCGAGTTCACTCCGTCCTGTTGACGGGCTGACCGACCGACTGGCTGGCTGGTTGGGCCGGCGCGGAGATAGACAGTAGCAATGGAAATCAAGCTCACGCCCTCGTACGTAGACTCACTTTTAAGCCTAGCCAAGATTTTGACATGTGCTTCCCATCGTATAATTGATTGTGGCCGTTTTGCTAACGGAACGTTTTCCAATGCGGTCATCGTCTGATCTGTGCCCGAATAATCTTCCGCACCCTGGAAAGGTAATCATTAATTACACAGTAGTTACATTGAATGTTCCATATCGTCGGCAGTTGTAATTGCACGATTGAACGAATGTCGTCGGAAACAATCCGATAACTTGTTCACGTAATCATGCCTTACGAACCTTACGCTTTGCCCTCCCCAGCGAGTTCGACCCGTGTGCTCGGTAGTATATAGGTACCGTGCGTTTGTGCATTCGTACGTGCGTGTCCAACCAACCACGTGGATATATGTCCGCTTTGAGGCAGGGTCCTTCGTATTATTTCCCCCTCTCTCCACAGAAAGGATACTTACAATTTACAAGTACAATGGCATTGCCCTATGCAGCTATGTAAAAAGTAAAGAATGTTGGCAACAACTGTATAACACTATCGTTTACTCCTTCAGGCTAACGGATTGACACAAACTCCCCCCAATCCATTTGGAACGTGGGGGATTCTCCAAAATGTTTCCAAAGTTCTGGTCCGTTCGGTTGCTTCGGGTGGGCGTCGTAGGCGTCATAGGCGTCGCTGTCGCCACTCGTATTCATAGGCGGCGTCTAGTACATATAAGTACACTTGAACCCCGTCTCGTATTTGTATCATCAACCAACCCGCAAGCGAATGATTGTAAAATACGTTCTGGGCCATCTGCTGCCGCGCAATCAATTGGTCCTCGCTCGGTCAAACGCGGAAGTCGGAAATGCGCGGAGCATACTGTGCAATTCACTGTAACAATACAGCAGCAAACTGACTGTACGAACTGGCAGGGGATATATTGTTGGAAATACAATGCAGTTTTAAATTTTGATTAATTTTTACTTAGCTTACGTTCGCCTGTACGTAGTACCGTTACATTCTTGTAAGAGAAAAAGGTCGCAATCTGGCCTACTTACCGCCAACCTTTCCCGCGTTGGACCGAGAATTGAGGCGTTGCAAGGAGGCGCTCTACGATAAACTATACGGCTTGGATTTGAGGTTGGCTTGACTTGAATTGACGGGCACGCGAGCACGCGATCAGCCGACCTCGTATATATCAATTCTAACGCATTTCGGTCCATTCATTACTAGTTCGCAATAAGCTAATCTTTCAAAACATTGTGTCTTTCTTTGTCATTGCAGTAAATGTGGATAATGAGGACAAGTGATTCGAAAGACGACGACATTTGACGTGTATGTTCCATGATAGCGGAGTTCTAGGGGGAAGCTAAGGTTTGGTTTAATTGCTTGTAGGGGTTTCTCTATGCTTATCGTTTCCAGTGACTTCCTTCTCCACCTGCTCTGCTGGCTGACTTCAGATATTACTTGGTTCATGAGAAATAGCATGCCGTGATACTGGACAGGCATTGTGATAGAGGGGATGGAGGGCAGAAGGGAGCATGGAAGGGGCAATTCCAAATCATGTCCGAGACGCTGGTCAGCAGTACTAGACAGCGAATGTACGACTTTCGAGCGGTCTAGAGGACCACATGCAAGATTGAGGATATCTATCTCTATGAAACGAAAAAAAGAAATCGAGACAACACCATGCATCGCATAGAACCACAAACTCTAATACACTTTCTACGCTGTCTCCTGCGCGCCAACAGTATGCGTCAAGCCCGAATACAACGGCTGAATAACCTTGACCGCCGCCTCGTACGAAGTAAACAGAATCCCACCACTAAACACCGTACGCCCAAGCCTCATCGTAGTCCCCTTCCAGAACCCGCGGAAGAAGCCATAGTCAGCAAGGATACTCTTGATCGCCTCTATCGTGCTCGCGCCGTGTGCGCTCTGCGAGCGCGTCTTGATGACATCGAAGGGCTGGGTGCACAGCGTCGTGACGGTCCCGGCCACGGAGCCGTTTGCGAAGTTGGTGACGGTGGTCTGGGGGATGTCGCGCTTGGTCTCGAAGTCCTTGAGGATGTTGTAGGTGCCCATGCGGAAGGCGGTTGCGGAGGCCTGTTTGAGTGTCGTACCGGCGAAGCCGCGGTACAGGCCGGAGATGCCGTGCTCGCGGTAGATGACCTGCGTGGCGTGGAGCCCGGAGCGGAAACGTCGTTCGTTTCGGGCGTCGTCGATTAGGGCGGTCTTGATGCGCTCGGTGGGTGTGACGGCGGTGATGGAGGCTACGACGCCCGCTGTCATGCCAGCGGCGAGGTTGCGGAGTGGGGAAAGAGTGCCGGTTTGTGGGTCGGCGAAGGCGATCTTGATTTGATCGAAGAATAGAAAGCGTACTCCATCTTTTGCGATTGATCCCTAGGGTTTTGCTTCAGTGATTTGGTTCATACAGAACACCAGGAAGATAGTCCAATAACCCGGAAAAGCGAACCCGACCATGCAACAATTTCTTACAGATCACAGTGGGAATAGAGAATAACAAAACACAATCCCACGACAACGGTGAATACAAAAACTACTTACAACAACCAAAGCACCGCAGCCTTTATACAGCGCTCTGAGCCCTTCAGATTGATACACCTGAGTGACGACCTTGAATGGATTCTTCGGCGTTGGAATTCCCTTCTCGCTACGCAATTGGACTCTCGTCTTCGCGAACTCGAATGGATACTATTCTCCAGAAATTAGTAACTATACCACTATAAAGGAGAAAATCCAAGAGGGGGTCTCGAACCGATGTGAACGCTTCAATGCCGCCCGCAACACCCCCGGCGGCCAAGGACACTATTGGGGGCGTATTTTTTGAATCCTGGTACGAGTCAATGATTGTTACAGCACGACTTATATATCCCATAGTGTTCTTACATTCGTCCCGGAGACCATTGGAACCTATCAATGCACGTGCGGAGGAGGAAAGGGTTGTTGAAGGTGGGCGTGCACAATAGATACACACAGGAACTGACAGGCCTGTGACGAAAGAGTTTCCCGAGATTTACTATCTCTTAGCCGAGAAGCCGACTGTAGCCCGTTCGGGCGCGGGGTCACGTGGTGGCGCGTCTGCATTGATTTAATTGCTTGATATTGTTTGGCAGTGGAGTGTAATGGGCGTTGAAGAATTCTTTTAGATTTGAGTTATGATCTCTATCTTGTGCGACTCGACAAGAAATGCTCTAAGTTGGTTTGAAGATAACGTATCTACCATTCAATCCAGCAACTCACACATACCACTGACCAAAACTGCAAAAACCCATTCGAAATAAAGCATGATCAATCAATTTATTTGATTTCTAAAGTTCTTCTTCATATTCATATATTCATCAGTAACAATCTACAAGCTACTCTTCGACGCCTCCTTCTCCTTCAATTCACGAACCATCGCCAGCGCAGCATCTAGACTCCGCTTCGTATTCTCAAAGTAAACATGCGAGAACTCGCTGCTCGCCTGCCCACTGATCGTCCTCGCCTGGATGCCGTGGCTGATAGTTCCTCCCTGTAGTCACTGATTAGCATCATCATAACGTCTTTCATTTCCAAGAGCCATCTTACCCTCATAAGATGAAATATCTTCGCTACATCCAACCGATCCCTCCTAGGATCCCACCCCGCAATCCTCGCATACTCGTCCAACAACTCATCCATACTCGGCATTCCCGCCTTCCTCTGATTCTCCACATCATACACATCCCCACCCATATCGTCCCTCACCGCCCCCTTCGCACTCCCACTCGCGCGGTTCCAGTACGGGCCCACCACATAGGTCGCGTCCATGAGCGGATGCCCAATCGTACTCAACTCCCAGTCGAGAATCGCAATGACACGGGGCTCCGTGGGGTGCAGGACCACGTTGTCGAACTTGTAGTCGCCGTGCACGATGCTGGCTCTGTCGCTGGGGGCCCGCTTGCGCACGAAGTCGACGATCTCGTCGAAGTTGGGGTGCGCGCGGCCGAGCGGTTTTCCCGTCGTTTTGTCCTTGACGGCGGATTGCTGGGCTTCGATCCGCGAGAAGGTGTTGCAGTGGCGGGTGTAGAAGCCGGTTTTCTTGCCGTAGGAGGCGAGGCCGATGGAGTCCGGGTCGATGGAGTGGAGCCAGGCGAGGGTTGAGACGACGGAGAACCAGGCGGCGCGGCGTTCGGTGGGGGAGAGTTCCTTGAGGTCTGGGTCGGTGATTATGCGGCCTTTGACGAATTCCATGACCTGGGGGGTTGGGTAAGTATTAGGTTTGGGAGTCAGGGAAGATGGATGTATGTATCTGTGGATAATGTATCCGGAAAAGCGTCACTGTCAGATTTTATAACAACGTACATAGAAAGCAGTGCCAATGATCGAGTCATCCATGCATAAGCAATACACTTTCGGCACGGGGAATCCCTTCACGGTCCCCAATGCTTTGAGAACCTTGTACTCGCGATCTACTTGGTGGGCCACGGGAGAGATGATGGTCCCAGATGGCTTCTTCCGCAATATGAACCTCTGGTTGTTTGCATCGTCGACGAAGTAGGTGGGATTGCTCTGTCCATATCCGATCTTTGTGGAAATGATGGGGAGCTTGAGGTTAGGTAGATGGTTTGTTAGATATTTCCCCAGACCCTCGTCATCAAGGTCATGGCGGGTCTTTTCTTTGGTGACGCCAGACATTGTGTATGTGGTTCTTCAATGGCGATACCTGTTACTCTACGGGTGATAGGACCTTTCTTGGGGATTTCAGTGTACGAGCCGCTGTGCCTACATATTCAATTTCACGCATTGAAATGTTAATTGAAGGTTCGAGTAAGCTTCCTCGAGCGACGGGTATAGCCTCGGTGATTGGACCTTTAGATCGATGAAGGACCCATGTGGTCTAGCGCATGCGGGGTCACTGGTTCCTCGGAAGTGTGAACACTAGAACAGTCTCAATCATCTACAACGCTAATATTACCAGATATAGTTTCTAATGCAATGTATCTTCTTTTCCTCTGATACACCAATGTTGCTGTATTACTGCAGGTGTTGGAGCAGCAGGCCACACCGTCTTTGATTTGGGCAGTGAATACTCAAGATGTTGGGATAAAGAAATTCCGATCCGCGGTGTCTTCTTTGGCATTCAGACACCCACACCCCCTCACATTCCACTTAATTCTATCCTGGATCAACTATACCGCCACTGGACGGTTGCAAACCTGCCTATGATACGTCGACAACTGGATAGATGCTAAATCCATGACTTCGCCATCTACTGGAACCAACGGATGGACAAAAGACCCCGACAATCCCAATGTATCATATAAATACATCCAAGAATACACTCCGCCTGGGTTGATAAAGCGTATCGGCGGGGGCAATTCATCATTAGTAGGGCTTCTTGAAGATGGTACCATCCTAAAATACCCCCTAATAAAAGGGGAGGGCATGAAGAGTCTCACCGTCGAGAACGCCATCTACGAAGCTCTGGGACACCATGATCGAATCGTCCGGTGCTTCGGCCTCACCTCGAGCGGACTTAAACTGGAATTCGCAAGTCAGGGACGCGTGACCGATTATCTCAGCAGCCAAAACCCTTCACTCGAACTTCGATTGAGATGGTGTCGACAAGCTGCCGAGGCGGTCGCCTTCCTCCACTCCAAAGGCGTCATCCATTGCGATCTTCACACCAACAACCTTCTGCTAAACGACGAACTCAACGCCCTGCTCTCAGATTTCCAGGGCACATTCAAGGATCTCGACGGCTATGCTATGGAGAGCACCCGCTATTTCCTGCCACGGGAGGCGACTAATCCGCCAAATGAAAAGACGGACATCTTCGCGCTCGGCACATTGATGTACACAATAATGCTCGGAGTTGAACCCTATCCGGATCTGTCAGACGCAGAAGTGGAGGACCGCTACAGAAGACAGGACTTCCCCGATACCCACGATATCATCTGCGGGAACACAATCCTTCGATGCTGGACCGGAGAGTTCGAAAATGCCGAAGCAGTGTTTCAAAGCCTTGCACTCTTGGAACAATGACGAGGAAGGATTCGATCCAATTTCCCAGCTCTCCTACAGCTACGACCGTTTCTTGCTCCAATAACGTCGCCCCACTATCTCTCTCTTGTCAAAGAACCAATCCATGCACCACATACATACGTCTATAACCCGCATCTCCCCCTCCTCTCCCTCCAGCAACCCACACCCCCACATATTCAGGTCTCGCAGAAGACGACGCACCCACGACCTCCATCTCTACGCAAGACATTCATCACACGGAACCCTCTTCTTCGTGGACCCCATATGCCTGTCCGGAATCTCCGTGCACGGCGCTCCGCACGGTATCATTCTATAAAACACCTTCGCGTGCCCGCAGGTGTGCACATTCGTGTGGACTTCGCGGACGCACATGGCTGTGCCAACTGTGCGGGGAAACGGTTTGCTCTGCTTGGACGGACGGACGCACGCGGGTTAGAGACGGACTGATTGGGATTGTGGGTGACTTACGGAGCTGGCTTTCCTTAACTGCACTTTCTATGCTGCACTGATTTGACTTTTGGTAGGAGGGAGTTGGTCAGAGGAAGATGGCGCGAGTCATGGCGATGGAAAGAGGGATATGGAATGCGATAGCAGCAGGCAGCAGTCCCTCAGCCTTGTGCGAAGAGTCCGCTGCAGGTGCGGGGTGCTTGCATGCATGCATGTGGCGATGGAGGACCAGACTGAAGGGGTTGGAGGGGGAGGAAACGAGAGTGGCCCGGTTCGTTTTATGGAGTTTGATGATAACCTTGTCTCTGAAGGCTTTCGTTCGTGTATGTGTGTGCTAGATATTTATGCGGGTATGGGTGTTCGGTAGTGCTAGCTTGGATATGTAGATGTAGATGTGTGGCTTTAGGCGGGTAAGGTTTACTTTGATTCATTTTGGTTTTATGAGTCTTTTCCATAGTGTAGAGACATAACGGTGTCTATGTCCGTCACTCACGACCCGTCGTCTCAATCACAGCTTCGCGCCCATCTCCCTCTTCGCGATCTCCCTCAACTCCTTCTTCAAAATCTTCCCACTTGCATTCTTCGGAATCGCATCCACGAACACGATACCCCCATCCAACTGCTTATACCCTGCCAACCTCTCCTTCATCCACCTCCTCACCGTCCCCTCATCCACCTCCGCCCCCTCCCTCTTAACAATATACGCCCTGGGAACTTCACTCCCGCTCTCCGCGGCGCCCTCAAACCCCCCTCCACTCCCTCCCTCCGCAACCCCAATAACCGCAACATCCACCACCCCCTCAACCCCTAATATCACGCCCTCCAATTCCGCCGGCGCAACCTGGAACCCCCTCACCTTAATCAACTCCTTCTTCCTATCAACAATATACCACAACCCATTCGCCCTCTTCCTCACCGCCACATCCCCCGTATGAAAATACCCCTCCCCATCCCACGCCGTCCTCTTCGCCCCCTCATCCCCAAAATACCCCTTCACCACCAACGGGCCCCTTACACACAACTCCCCCCTGACGTCGTATCCCGTAATGTCAACGCCGTCGTCGTCCACGAGCTTCGCATCCATACCCGGCAGAAACCGCCCCACGGACCCCGTCCCGTCGTGCTCAGGCCAGTGTATCATCGTCGCGATGCACGACGTCTCGCTCATGCCCCACACCTGATTAAACGGCGTGTCGGCCCCCAGCAGCGCCTTGAACCGCGCCTGGGGCTCGGGGGCAAGCGGCGCGGCGCCCACCCACGCGAAGCGCACGCTGGAAAGCAGGCGTCGGATTTCGGCGGGGGGGAGTGTCGGGTGGGAGAGCACGCGGAGGACCATGGGGGGAACCATGTTGACTTCTGTTATGGCGAAGCGGTGGATGTTGGACAGCCAGGCGGAGAGCTCGAAGCGCGGCATTATGACTGTGGGGGTGCCGGCGCGGAGGGGGGAGGTGTGGGCGCGTGGCACGTTGGAGACGTGGAACATGGGGGTGCAGAGGAGGCGGCGGATCGGGTAGTTGCGGTGGATGGATTCGATGACCATGGTGTGTTGGGCGATGAAGTTGCGGTGCGTCATTTCGACGGCTTTTGGGAGGCCGGTTGTGCCGCTGGAGAAAAGCCGGGCGGCGGTCGTGGTCGCGGAGAGGTGGAGGGAGTCCCAGCGTGGCCAGGAGGTTGAACCGTGATGCAGGAGGGACCGCCAGCTGAGGAGGCCGCCCCATTTTTCTTCGTTGCCCAGGCCTTCGCCGTCGCGGTCGTGGCCGTCCGAGGGGACGCTGAGGGGCGTATGGTGGTCGAAGATGAAGATGCGGGACCGTGGGATGCCGGCGAGTTTGGCGGCTTTGAGGGCGGAGGGCGCGAGGGAGGGTTCCACGAGGAGGGCGCGGGTTTGGGAGATTTTCCAGGCGTGGGCGAGCTCGAAGGTCGTATGGGAGGGGTTCACGCCGGCGAAGACACAGGATGAGGCTACGATTCCGAGGAAGGCCATCGAGTAGTATATCTGAGCAGTCGTGTCGTGAGATTAGGCTGTGGAAGGTCTGGGAGGGAGACGGGAGAGCGTGTGGAGGCGTACATCGTTGAATGATAACATGCACACGCAGTCGCCCTTTTGGAGGCCAATTGCCTTGAATCCAGCTGCAAGCTTTTGAATGATTGATCTTGCCTGGCGGGACGATATCGTCCGTGAGGGGTCGGCGGCATCGATATATATCTTAACAGTGTGTTAGTATGGCAGTTTCCCAAAGACGATTCCTCTAAAGGGTTGAATGTGACCAAGGAGGCGGACTCACTGGTTCATCTTGATCATACTTTTGGTCGTCGAACATCCAGGACAAGAGATCCTTGTTCGGGATATCAATGTGTTCTTCGGCGAGGAATGGCATGGTGAAGAGAGAAAGCAGATGCAATTGGCTAGTGGTACTGGAGAATTCGCCGAGATGCTGAAGCTAAGAACTGGGACTACTAATGTGACAAGCCAGTGTCGATGAGGCGTATGTACGTAGTATGTGTATGTGTATGTGTAGCAGTTGGCTGGGGCTGCTCACCCATACATAGTTGAGTCGGTTACATGATGTCAGTCCAGGATTCCAGGTAGGCTATCTGGTCAGCATACAAGCGAGAGGACGCAAATGCGGGAGGATCAGTACACATAAAAGTAGGTCCTCGTAGTAGCGTCGTATAACTAAGAGAGATGAGACGGGGAGTAAGGAGAGTCAGTCATTGATGCCTCGGTGACTTCGGAAGGAGAGTTGATGTTGCGATGCGGGGGGAGGGAGGATTTGGCCCAAGCTTCATATTTCGGCTAGCTAATGATTGGCTGCAATTGCGCGTCCAATGTCAATCCTATGCCTAAACGAACTCCACCCCACCTGCCTCAATCGTCCTTCCATTCATCGTTACGAGTACTGTTCAATGATGGCTATGTTTACCCCAATATGTAGGATATGCCAATGTACTGAGTCTCTTGCTCGGGTCAATTCCAATCCCGTCGTCAATCATAACAACTCGTTGATAGCTCGCTCTGGCAACCTGGCCAATTGCCACGCTAGTCTAATACATGTTTCTTTTTACAAGGTGGACTTGGCGATGATCCCTCCCTGGATAAGTGTAGGTTGCACATTGGTGAACTTAGGAACGTCGCCCTGGATCTCTGCGGTTCCGGGATCGGTGATGGCCTTGCCAAATGCTTCGGCACTCTCGAAGACGATGGTGGTAGAAATGATGTATGGTGAATCGTCGGATAGCTTGGTAACGCTCCAGGACTTCAATCCATGCGGGCCCCAGTGCTTAGCACAGAGGGGCATATGTGTTTCGAGGTAATACTTCTCGTCGAATGTGACGCCTTCCTGTCGAGGATAGAGGACGAACACCTGAGTTCCGTTGCTGGACATGTTTGCTAGAACGCTGGCTTTGCTCTAAAATACGGGAGATCTGATCGTGATTGGTAAGCACGAGGACCAGGGACTAAATATCATGGGATGAGCAAGCGTACTTATGCGTATTCTGGCGAGAAACTAGAAGACCAAAATCGTATATGAGATAGGTGTTAAAGAAATATGTCTTTGAGGAGGCGCAATGCTGCCTTTTTATCATCAGAGGGGTCCAGCCGCGTATTGTATGGGTCTCGCAAATGCACTAAGCCCACAGCATGCTCATAAGGCCGAGGTCTCTCATGGCGCCGCTCGCCCCACTTAAGACAACTCTTCGAAACTGACACTGCAATTGCGCGATGTGTCCCCTCGCGGCTCCCATGTCCAGATGTGCATGTGCAATAATGGCACCGCTGCTGACGTTCTGCCTGAACCGTCGCGCGTTAGCCGGAACGGGAATGTTGTACGATGCCCCGTTGAGATAGCGTTTCCGGCGGATGGATTGCGTAAAATACAAGGTAAGATCCAAACCCAGCCCTGCTTCGGTTCCGACACGCTTCGGAAGACTCGGACAAAACTGCCGCAAGTACGAAATGCGAATACTGCGTGTGTCTCGTTGTGTATTGTTTTTGTTTGTTTCTAGACAACGATCTATGGGGTATCTTTGCTCATATTTTTGGTGGGAGAGTTGACTTCCAAGACATGCCAACTATTCTGTATCCTTTTCATCTTTTCAAAACATGCTGTCGTAGGAATACTACCAATGCCGGATGGCGGGCATTGGCGAAGGTGAATTCATGCGTTGCTCGGCATTCATAAAGAGTTCGTGATTCGTAAACTTGCCTCCTCCTCCCCAGGTCTTGCCGCCGCCCCCCCATTGTCGCTGACCTGGGGCGGGAGATTCGGAATTCATGCGCTGTTGCGAGTGAACAAAACGCTCGGTATGTGTAAACTTGTCTTCAGCCTTGCCGTTCGTGAGGCCGTCATCGCCGGTGATCATGCTAGTCTTCATGACCACATGGGTCTGGGCTCCCATCTTCATCTGCCGCTGGGGAAAGCCGACGAAAGGTGCTGGCACATCGTCTCGCAGTCCTACGACCCGGACGTCGGCCCATGTGCCGAGCGCGTTGCCCCAGGGAGAGGAGGGAGAGTCTATCCGCGCCCAGATGAAGCCCATTTTCTGCATACCCTCCAGGCGGAGGCCAATGACGAGGTGTGATTCGAGGCCTATCGTCTTCTGTGGCCTGTTGGGCGGGCCGATGCCGTTGAAATGTGATATGACGGGCATGACGGCTACGCTGGTGCGCTCGGCGACGACGGCCTCGAGAATTTTAATAGATCGAGAGGAGCCGGTGCGAGTGCGCGGGAGGGTACTATTGACCACGAAGCCATCCTCCTCGTGTGTGAGATCGGTGAGGCGGAAGCGGAGGTTGCGCTCTATGCCCACGGCTGCGCTCTGGCGGAAGCCGCCCTCGATAGTGCAGGACAGGCCGGATTCGAAAAAGAGCTGGAGGGTGGGGAAGAAGGTATTGAGCGTCCAATGGGTGATTTCTACAAGCAAAAAAAGTGTAAGTGGCGCATTCATTCAATTCATACATCCGTCCAGCCGCAAATGCGAAGGTTGGATCACAAAGGGAATCACGGAATGTTCACCCACTTTCACCGACGAGGAGATTCGGGTGCACCGAGTTGGGGTTGGCAGCGATCCTCAGCTTCAACTTTGGTCCCATGTGTGCGCTGCCCAAGGTCTGGATGGTGGTGGCTTCGGTGCCTCGAGCCTCGTCATCCTTTTTGAGGTTTTCGCTCAACTCGTCCTGCCCTCCGTGCGGTGCATAGCCGCGACGCTGAAGTTCCTGTCGAAGCTCATCTGCGGGACAGAAGTAATAGTCCATACAAGAACTTGGAAGAGGAAGGGGGAAGGTGTTTGTCGAGTTTTAGCTATTGAAGACAATAGCTAAAGGAGCACGGGTGAGCACTGAAGCACGAGGGCGGCGTCATCCGGAGTGGGAGGGCTTAGGGGGGGGAGAGGGAGGGAAGAAGAGGAAAGAGAGCGCAATGGTAGGTGGTGTGTATGTTGCGTCGCGACCTTGAGAGGAGTTGTGCCGTTGTGGTCGTGGTTGTGATGTTGCGCCGTTGGTAGGCAGACAACAGGCAGGTAGTTGGAACTGGCGTGTCGGGGTTTGGAGGTATGGTAGTCTCGGGCCTATATCGGAAGAAGGATTTTTGGATCCTTCTGATTTGTTGTTGGAAGAAAAGTAAGCAAGGCAAACAAGTTTATGTGCACGGGAAGGTACACGAGCGATAAGAAGATTCGTAGAGCTGGGTGAATGGGAACGTGTGTGTGTTATTCCGGGAGAGGGAGAACAACAACAGAGTAGAAAGGAAGAGAGGGCGTGCGAGCGCAAGAGGTGGGTTTAGTTGGTCAAGGATGAGATCTGTGGTTGGTTGGTTGGCTGGCAGGTCGGAAGGAATTGGCAAATGGAAGGAAATAGAAACCCTTGGGAGGGAAGATCAGAAATGTATGTGTGTGTGTGCGTGTGTGTGCGTGTGCGTGTGCGCGATGCTAATAATGCCCCATCCATGTATGTACGCAGTATGTGCGTGCAGTGTATGCATTGAACGAGTGGCCGACGGCGACCCTGCCTACCTCTACTGTGTTGGCTACCTAGTAGATACTTGATGCCTACCTTACTTGGTCTTAGACCATCTAACCTGTCGAACGAAATAACGACAATAAAATAACGAGGTGGGCGGCAAGACCGCTTAGCACGGATTAGGTGGGAATAAATCAGACGATGCGGCATCTGGAAGCAATTGGAAAGGGAGAAATTGGGGGCATCGTGGGTAAGGTAGGATTAGTTCGAGTAGTTAGCGGAAGGTAGTAGCACCAAGTCGGTATTCCTAACATGTTTCGAGGTACTCGTAGAATAGCAGCGGGTAGAAGTGGAAAAAATTGGTACAGAACAGAACCAGCTAACTATCTATTTACTTAGTTCGAGTTGGAATGATATCGACCTTGTTACTAGCTAAGGGGTAAGGGACTAGAGCGTTTACTTGAAAGGCATTCACTATCAATCAATTGAATGGGATGATATGGTATGATGTATGATATACTTGTGTATATGATGTTGTATATGGAGGGGCTAGCAATGAGTCGATGAGTCAAACTCAGATGTGTGAAAAAGACCATCATTACATCACGTGGTGGGGGTCATGGAGGGGGAGCAGGAAGGAACGAAGGGAGTTGTGACGTAGCGAAGGAGCTGGAGGGGAAGGGAAAGACAGGAAAGAGCGAACGATGCAAAGTGGCAGGTGGCACCGTGGCAGAGACCCTCGTCTCGCATCAATCAATCTCTCGTCGATTTCCGCATGTTCCATGACTCTCTCCCTACTCGTACTCATAGGGCTACCCTTGATATGCTACACTGTCGACACTACTAATCGAACGGAACATTATCATTCCACGCTTGAATGCAAGTCACATTTGCATCGAACCGTCTCATGATTTCTTGCTTCTCTCCTCTCACGCGGGAAGAAAAGGTGGGCGAACCCAAACGCTATCCTGTCCTGTATGCCGAAGGGACTCGATGAGATGGCGGTGAGGGAGTTGGAAAGAGAAATGCGAAGCACATTACTACATCCGGACTAGTCGACATTACCTAACGGGTTTCACAGCGTCTGATTGGCTGATTCATCAAGCGACAGGCGCTTAGGTACACGTCGGATTTTCCATCAACGAAAGACGCACATCGTCACCAATACACAGTATACTCTGTACGCACAGAAACAGAATGGATGTATTACAGCATACGCATCAGAGGGATCAGTCCAAAAGACATGCACAACAAGTCTCGCACTCCTGGAGGTCTAGACCGACTTAAACGCTGCCTCCTGTTGAGTTGAATGTTCCTCCTCGGTAGCCGGTCCCCTTGCCTTGTCCCTCAAGTTTTTTTCTTCACCATTTTCTAGTGACGTTTCCTAATACGGACTAGTGCACTCTCTTGATGAAGCAGCCGTCGCTTTTCATCGCTTTACCATCCCGCGCCAGCCTCAGGCCAATTCCTTCCCTTCCCTCGACCATCATTCTGTGCATATCTGCTGCAGTGTGTACATACCCACTCCGTATAACTGCTAACCACTTCTCGGCGCCCTCTTCTTACGGCCGTGGACGAAAGACTCTCGTACATGCTCGAGGCTGCGAGGCTACGAGTAGTTGGCCGTATGGTGCGTGGGTGAACATGTCTCATATGTACGAGGCACGTACTCTCGTCCCTACCATTAACGAGTAAAGCATGCAACTACAGGTCGGAATAACCGCCAAGTCAAGCAACCACCAGGGACCACCCACTCAACTGCAGTCACGGCAGTCACGGGGACCCTTCAGTTTTTCTTCCTCCTCCTTAGGCTCTTCCGTTTCCCTTCCTCTTCATCATTACTCAGGCTTTCCCCTGCTGCTGTCTTTCAGCCTCAAACAAATGGGACCAGGCATGTCGGCCCGTGAGCGTGGGAGAGATAGTTCTCTCCTCACAGCTTTTCTTTCTTCTCAGCAATTGTCAACCCACGTCGTGCCTATAACACATTTCCGTTCACGGCTGGACCGTACATCCTTTGGTGACCGGAAAAATATTGTGATTATAATTCAACAAAACGTTCTTAGTCGACAATCGTCGGTTTCCCAAGACCCAGGTCCTGTAGGGCATTTCAGCGACCTGCCATCTTGTCTGCCCCTCTGGCGCCTCGCGGACGGGCCGGCGCGCGCCTCGTCCTTGTTCGGCGCCTCGTTCGGCGCCGCCAGGAACGCGACCATGGAATGAGCGCCATTGTCGCCCTACGACTCCAACAATCCGCTGCCATCCGTAATCCTATGATTGGGAAGTGCAGCATTCTTAGGCGGGGCGGCACAGCGTCGTCCAACGTCCACCCTTCAACGCCGTGTCCATACTTGATCTTTCTGCCGTTGGTCACCAGGCCGTGAATCGGTGATGCTAGCCCAACATCAGTTGGCCATTTCAAGAGCAGTGCCTCACTAACATTTCGAATCGCATTACATACTCCGTACCATGGTTGCGGAGGGAATGATTCCTGTAGGGATCCGATGCATGTTTGTGCATAGTCGTAGTTTCTCGTCATACGTACCAGTGGGTATACATTCCATATGCTCGAAATCTTGATCAACCAGCATCCCTCCGTATCATGCTGTGAATTTGAATCAGCAACTTTTGGAAATCGCGTTGCTTGGTCGATTTTTTTTCAAAGCTCCTCTATTGTCTATCCATGGTCTCGTCCAGAGCAGCGAGAACGTTGCACAGACGCAAGGGGTGTTATGTGCAGTGCAAAATGTGTGCGGAGTCCATTGGAGGAACACAAGGGACAGGACGCAACTCTCGATGCCTCAATCTTCGTGATCGCCTTCCTGTACGAAGTACGCCTCCAAGACAGACTCGGGAAGCTAGACCTGACCCGACAAAGAGGTGTGATAGACACTACTAACATGCTGTTCGTCGATTCACTCATGTGCTGGAGACTGACTACACACTAAACAGGCATTGTGGCAGTTGTTCCGGCCCTGACAGCGTTGCAGTTCCCCGTGCAACTTGTTGAGAACCCAAGGAGACCCAAAGGCCGCAGACTTGGGTTAGACTCGTAGACCAGCGTAAGCGGAGAGATTTGATGACGCTCGGCGGCGGAGGAAATGACTGGTCCACAGACCTCTCGGAGGTCAATCATTAGCTAACCATCTCATGAATGGACAGACAGGTGCACAATTCAATCAACTGAAGCTCAGGAGAAAGGCAGAAAAATACTCGGTTACACCAAATACTCTCTCTCTCTCTCTCACACAGACCACGCACGACCCAGGACCGGTGAAGGCCATTACTCAATTGCGCAAAAGGTACGGAATACTCCGTATCAGACACGCGGGGGAGCAGCCGAAGTGTCAACAATATTTCGAGCCCGATCGTCGTCTCCATTCTTTCCTGAGATAGCGCCCGCTTTAGGGGCCGGTTAGTCTACATAATGGCCCTATGCTTGCTAACGGTGTTGTGAGGGTAGGCCTGGAACCTCGATGGTCTTCCTAGCAATACTATTTTTCTGCATTCCTCGTCCTGCAAAAGTGATACAGGTGCCCCTTTGGTTTGTCGGGGAAAATCTGACCCAAGCCTCGTATGGAAGGTTTCGAAACTTGTTCGAGAAGAAGCTAATCTAAAGTAAGAGGAGAAAAAATGCCAGTCTCGGCTCGTGGGCCGTTGGTCGTGAGGGGAGGGTAGGGTCAAAGGGGGCCATATATTCGGAGTCCGATGACTGCTTAAGCGCCCCCTTTGGCCGCCCATGCACCAATATGCAGAAGCCGCGAGAGCTTGATACTGTGATGGCATGGTCTGACTAGTGGAAATGTTCGCTCAGACTGCTGCTGCCGTCGCCCCGGCCGCCACTGTTCGATTCCCCAGACAGGCATTGGCGCCACCCATACAGGGCCTCTTCTGCTGTCTATGGCCATGAACCCATTGGCATCAGCATCGTCGTCATCGGCAATATCATCATAAGCCTTAGGACTGGTGAACAACGGATCTCTCGCAAGAGTACTGTTACGCTGATGGTTGGCAAGACGTCACTCTGGCCCTAACCAGCAACATGGGACTTGGGACGATTTCACTCTCCCCAAGTATAGTAGGCAGGCTATTGTTAGCAACTGAAGCATCGCTGGAAAAATGTTTCTTGTAGGTGGGATGAGGCCTATTCCTGGCCACGAGTGTCGTCGGTCGCATTGAATTAGCAATCAACAACTTGCTGGAATTTATATTGATTGGGAGGGGTCTCGGCTGAAGGGGTTTGATTGGGCACGAAGATGAAGCACGCCCCTGGAAAGGGAAGGGGAGGAGAGGGAGGCGGTTGATGCACGGCATGGCACGGCACGGCATGGGATGAGAATTGGGATGATCACGGCAAATCAAAACAGCCTGATGGTAAGAAAAACATCAAACTGATGCATTCTGGCGGTCGGCGTGGTCTGGCATGAGACAATGGACGAATGAACGACAGATGAATAGGATGGGGTGCGAATAGTTACAGCGGTTTACCAGCATTCCATCAAACGGTATGCGTGTTCCATTCTCCTCACTTCCGCAGGCTGATAAGATGTAGATCTGTCAAAGCCGTCTGCCAATAGTCTAGAGTACGAGTAACGAGCTACACAATAACTAATGACAGGATAGGATAACTTGGAATTATTAGAGAAGACGACAACGACAACGATGACAAGGTTACAGGGGCTACAAGGCTGATGCTGACCACCCACCAGGGCCACCACCCGTCAACCGTCCCCACCGTCTCCACCGCTTCCGAGAAGGAGAGCCCGACTAGTTCATGACTTGCGAGTTACAGGTTGCAACTAACTTGTCTACTGCCTACTGGCCGATGCATCATTCCTTCGCGCGCATCTTTGGGTATCGTGCTCGTATCGCATTGGAAGCACTCCGCACATTTTACATGTGCATGTACATATCTTGTGCTTTGAGGAGGTGTGTGTCTTTTGCATTGATGCATTCATCTTATGTCTAGTATCTCTGATCTCCTACGCAGGTGTGGATCTAGCCATCGGAATCTAACAGTAGTGGTGGAAGTAGTGAGTATCTAGTACGGAATATGGAGTAGTCGTGATTTATGGTTATTCTCCCTTTCTTTATTTGTTTCTTTCTCTTCTTTCAGCTCGCCCACTACCCGCCTAACTAACGTTACCTCCTGACCCTTACCGCCCAGTTAGGCTTGTCCCGTGCCGTGTACATACAATCAATTTCTCCAGCTCTTATGTATGTCTCTCGTATGGATAGTCCGTAGGTGGAGGTGGAGGTGCAGGTGTAGGCGCTGAGCATTGATACTGGTACCGGTACGGGTACCTACGTTAAACTCTATTTCCCTTTCCAACCTGAATACACCATAGAGAGACTCCTCCGTACACACGGACAATCCTCTTACTCTATCGTGTATGATGTCCCCTCCCTCACAACGAACGCCCCCTCAGACGATGGAGAGGTAGACAGACAGATAGACAGCGCACAAACCACATCATTACACGATACAGAACACCTCGCACCTTGTTCCTCTCTTACACTCTTACTCCCCTCCCCCATATACATACCCACCAGGAACCTACACCACCACCACCCACCCACCCACCCCCGACCTACTGCACCCATCCATCCTGACATGCAACTACTGTAAGCCCGTCATCCCTACCCGGCTGCTCTTCTCCGCTATTACCACCTACATACTTGTATTTCCCTCCCCGTTCCTTCGCTTCGCTTCTTGTTCTTCTTCGCTCATCTCATCCTTTTTCTCTCTTCCTTCCCTCCTTGTTCCGACCATCGCGCACCTGCCCTCCCTCATCCCCACACACTTTAGGGCCACTAGTAAACAACAACAACAACAATAACATCACCACCACCAACACCACTCCTATCATTGCTACACCTACCGTTCCAACCCATATCGCCCATTCGCCATGACGGCTGTGGGCAACATGGACAAAGCCCTCATGTCGCGCGAGCACCTGGAGTTGCTGCGCAGCTCCGCCTTTGAATCAGAACACGCACAGCTCTACGACAGCTCGTACATGCAGCACGAGGCAGCAGCGCAGGCTTTGGAGCAGGAAATCGAATCGGCTGTGGGAGGCATCACCCCCGACGACAACTCGGACGAACACATGCGAGTCGTGCGAACCCAGATCACTATCCACAGAGAGCGACAGCGTGCACTGCGACCGCACCTGGAGAGCGGGAGTGGTGTTGAAGACGAGGAGGGCCGCGAATGCGTCTTCGTGCCCGCGCCAAACCACTGGGGTGCGAATGGAGATCTAGACGAGGAGAGTGGGAGCCTGTCGTCCGTACGTTGCAACTAGTTCGCTTCCCTAGCTGGTTCCCTGTCCCGGCCTGTAGCTATTGCCGACCACAACATCAACGACAGGACATCATCTCTTTTCCTAATCGCAGGGCTAATTTTTATCAATCTTGCAGGTACATAACCTCCTCACATGGCAGGCCAACTATTCACCACTATCATACACCCCAATGTACGACTCTCTGCCGTCACCGGACATGCCTTACCACACCATGCTCGACCCCACTCAATCCCAAGTGACCTATCACCTCCACCGCACCCGGGAATGGACACAGGCCGGGATGCGGAAGTACATCTACAGCGCCCGCGAATATAGCGACAAGTACACACTCTACACACTGGAGGCTTCACACCGAGCGGATTCCCAGGTTTCAACCGCAGATTTCTTCCGTGTCGCGGAGTTTCCGCAGCCTTGTATTTCCATTCTCCTTTCAGCCATCGACGGCGGCCCGTCCAAACGCCCGGACCCGAACTCCGCCTACAAGAGCAGGTGCATACATCTGCGTGGCCCGTTCTCGACCCCAATTAAGGAATATCCAGATCGCCAGCAAAAGATTCCATGGTCGCCGCGCCGTTTCACGTACGGCGGCCGGCGCTTCGTCTGGAAACCTGGTGATGACAAGGACGACGTGATGCCGGAGACTCTCTACGAGTACGAAAACGACTGGCCGAAGCCAGGAAGCCGGACCGGGAAGAGACTGGACGATGCAGGCGAGCGAAGACTGGTCTGGGGCGACAAAAAGAGGAAGGGCATGGTCGATAGCTACACGGTCCATTTCGCAGGCGGAGTCGATCAGGTGTTCCGGGAGATCTTGCTGGCCAGCCAGATGGTGAGGCAGATCTGTCTCTTCAGCACCGCCATGGAGGGGTAGAAGCGTGTGGTTGGACGAGCACTACCAGCTCTCGCATATACCATTGTAATACCTCACCTTGAACGTAGAGGCACAGGCGCACGTGACGCGCAACCTAGACGATCCATCCATCCATTCATCGCAGCGCCGGCGTTGATTTTCTTCGAGTCGCGAACGGGCGCCCTTGCCATTTGCTACCACGATACCCCCCGCTTCTTCAGTTGCGTTGCCACGATACCAAAGTGTTTTCGGATTTCGACTTATCTTCGGGATGTCTTTTACTTTTATTTTTGACTTGCAGGCTTCATCTCGTCGTTTTTCTTTTCTCAAGTATTTCGGATGGGAAGGAGGAGCATCGGGCGAACCATTTCTGGAGCATGGATACCACGGCGTTGAATTTCTTTTTTCTTTCGGTTCTTCCTCTTCGCGGTCGGGTTTTCTTTTGTTTCGGTGGGATGGAATGGGATGGACAATCTGATCATGGTGGGGTTTTCTTACGATCGATCTATCGAGTTTTCAAAAAAGGAAGGGGGCGGTGAATGCAGGATATATGTTATTTTCCAACTAAAGGGATCTCCGGCTTTGAGTCCCTTGGACTCGAGCGGTAAATGGATGAATATTTCAACGGGTAGGGGAGGAGTGGTTTCTCGTACGAGTACAATGCATCGATCGATCGATTCCTCCCAAGTGATCACTATCAATGTCACGATGAAGAACAAAACGTCAACATCAGTGTCTTTATATCTTAATTGCGGTATATGTACTCAAATGTGTCACAGAAGGTGTGCTTTGATCTTCATTTTCATTTTCATCCTCTTTGGGAGATGCCATGTTTTCTTATGGCGGGGGTGTCGAGGCTGATGATAGGTAAGGCAAAACCTGGATATCATTGGACGATGGAGACGTCGTCCCTTGAGCGTCGTTCCGTGTCACGTCCGTCTGCCGCCTGCTCACCAAATCCATTGCAAAAAGGTTCGCCGCGCACGTAGGATTCAACCATTTCCCTCATTACATCCGCTATAAAGCACAAAGATCCCACCTCCTCGTGTGCAATTCTACCATGTCGGCACCAAAACCACCCTTACACAGACGACAATAAACCCCCATGGCCACATTCACCAACGGCACGCCTGTCCCCGCAGACGGTAACTTCCACATCGACCCGCTCAACCCCATAGTCAGCGTAAAGTACCTCTCCCCCTGGCACCCCCCAGGCGTCACAGAAGTCCTCTCGGGCGGAACCACAGCCTGCCTGGGAGCTCTACCAGACGGAACGGTGCTGAAATACATCCGCGACAGAGACGACCGACACGCCGTGCACTCCCTCAACGTCGAGAAGGCCATCCTCTCCGCGTTGGGTCCACATCCGCGGATCGTGCAGTATCTCAGCGACAACGACCACGGGATCGTTCTTCGACGAGCCGAGAACGGCGATCTTCGTCGCTACCTCCTCACCACCCAAAGAAAAGGAGAGCACCATCCCACCATCCCGCTGGAACTCCGTCGAAAATGGATTAGGCAAACCGCGCAGGCACTCTCTTACGTTCACTCCAGGGGCGTGATACACAGCGACATGCACCCCAACAACCTCCTCCTCGACGCCAATCTCGACATCCGGCTCTGTGACTTCGCGGGCTCGGTGTTTGGAGAGCTCGACGGCGGGGCGATGGAGAGTACGAGGTTCTGTCTCCCGAGGGATTGGCGGGAGAGGCCGGGTGTGAGGTCGGATTTGTTTGCGCTGGGGTCGGTGGTGTTCTTTATGTTGACTGGTGGGAGGGAGCCGTATGAGGAGTTGGGGGATGGGGAGGTGGAGGAGAGGTTTGGGCGGGGGGAGTTCCCGGATGTTGGGGGGTTGGAAGGGGGGTATGGGGATGTGGTTGTGGGGTGTTGGAGGGGGGAGTTTGAGAGCGCTGGGGATGTTTTGGGGTTCGTTGAGACGGTTGAGTGGAGAGGTTCGGGGGAGTGAATGGTTGAGTGTGTGCATGTGTGTTCGAGATGGATTGAAGTGAATGAAGTGTTGTATGGAATGCCGTAACTTGAAGAAATATCATGTCATTCCTGGCGTGCGCATGTACAGCGAGATCAGTTTCGACGAAAGAATTCTGATATTCAATGGCACAGCTACATAGAAATTGATCTCTCGTGAGGTCGTTGTCTTAGTTCCATTAGGTGTTGTACTTATGTGCAGTGTGCCTTGCGCTTGGACTATGTATCTTTTGGCCATGCAAGTGCAATTGGGATAGACCCGCATTGTATCCACCGAACCAATCAAGCGATAAGAAAGTAAAGGAATGAGACAGGCTATGAAGTTGACCATTGATGCTCGCACTGCCAACGACAATCACACGCTTGGATGAAAGACACGGCAGTGCATCCCGACAAATCAGTTGTACAAACCACTTCCCAAAATGAATTTCGTCGTTAACATGCCATAATATCGTCAGGCCTTCCATCTCGTGTTCCAATACCACAACCGAGCTTTGAGACGTCTATGGTAAACTCAGTATGGCCTACGAGGAATCTACTCGATGGGGAAATCTCACGATGAGAGAATTACATCGGCTAAGGCACAGGGGCCAAGGGGAGCAATTTATCATAACACCACGCTACGAGGGGCATGCTCTTTTGTATCTTCACGACTGCGTCCTACATCTAGGCATTGGAGAAATTTCGAAATATAAAAAGGGTGGATTCGAACGCATTTGGAGAAACCACCACAGCACAGCTTCCACCATCATCTTCTACAACCCTCCCAGCTTCGCTATCAACAACCACCAAGTTCTCCCAAACCAAATCAACTATCCAGAAAATGCATTTCTCCGCCATCCTCACCACCCTCCTCTCCACCACCGCCCTCATGGCGACCGCCGCTCCCACCGAAGCCCCCCTCGACCTCCCCATCGTCGACGCCGCCCCCTTCGAGCCCACCAGCCTCGTCAAACGCGGCGGCAGCATCCAGGCCTTCCACGGCGACCGCTGCGGCGGCGGATCCGCGGGCGGAGGCTACACCAACGATGGACAGAGCCTCTGCTACAGGTTCTCGAATGTTAGGTCGATCAAGGTTAATGCTACGTACGTGCTCTTCCTACTACTCTACCTACTGATGGAGGTGATACTGACTATGTGGGGTTTGTAGTGGAAACTGCAGGATTCGTACTTGGAGTGGAAGTGATTGCCGGGGCTCTTCTGCGGATGTCTCGTGGAGTGTTTGCCATAATATTCTTTTTGCTTCTGTCTCTGTGCAGTGTTAGGTGTATCGAGAGTCTTTTCTTGAAAGACGAGCTGGGTCGGAAGTTAGGGACTGTAGGGCTGAACGTGCTAGTAGAGCGAAGCGGTGCAAGAGAGGAGTGGTATAGGTAGTTGAAAATATACATAAAATCATCTGGTGGAATTTTGTGCTCTTCGAAATCTTGCATGTGAACTTTCAGGTGCAATTAATCTACTCACCATGTGAACACTTATGGGAGAGCTACCCACTACCTCGATGACTGACACTGCATAGCTGCTGCGTTGTTGGCAATATATAACTCCGCAAGCAATAATCCGACAAGGATCGAACTGACGTACCTGCATGACAAGACCGCTCCATCGACACAACCGTTGGTCCAGATCGCCCGCGGACGGTCAGTGGCTTGATGCCCTTCGCCTTATTCAGACTTCCATAGTGAACTCGCGAAGAAAATCATAGCGAGTCCCATTGAATCTCAATCCCAACTCAGAACAAACTATTTTCGCTCCTTCAATCACCCAATGCAACTCAACGCAAGCAACCCCCGCCCCTCCTAATGCAACGAGCACATTGAAGGTGCAAAAATACTCCTCCTACATATACAGAAAGACACTAGCACGCAACGTCAGCGTCAGCGAGCCTCCCTCGTACACGCGCGCTGCGCCTGCGTAACTGCATGTCAGATCTTGTGTCTCCATCCTCTCGCCGCCCAACATCCCCCCGCAAACGGTCTCATCCGATGTGGCTGGATCTGCGTGGACGACGGAAAGATCGGAGATTTTGGCTGGGCGCGGGTGCAGGGACTGATGGGGGCGTATTTTGTAATTGCTTGCTGGTGTGGTTGAGTTGGTCTTAGGAGGAGAGGATGTGAAGTATTTGATATGAGAACTAACACAGTTCCTACAACCACCTAGGTATACATCACTACAAAAAAATTATCAATCACAGCACTCAAAAGCCCTTCAAACACTTTTCTTCCTCCCAAGACTGCCTCGTCTCCTCCCAAAATAGCGAGACCCATAGATTAATCTATTTTACCGGCTTGGTCCTACCCACCAGCACCACTTAGACACTAAAAATGCCGCAGTCGGCCAAACACATCGAAGCAATGAGGAACGCATCGTACTGTTTAGTGTGAATTCAGCACTACGAGGCTGATGCTGGAATAGGATTGGATTGGTGAAATGTAGTGCCTTTTTGGGGTCGTGGGAGGCGGTGACGTTGTCAGCTTTGTGCGAGTGCAGAGAAAGGTCAGACCTATTAGGTAAGGGACGGAGGGTGTGTGCGACGTGTGGGAAAGACAGATAATGGAAGAGGTGTGGGTTGATAGTACAACGTGCGACGATGAGAGAGTCGTCTTGGAAGGGTGCTGGCCTCGGGCGCACAAGACGTAAGTGTGTTTCCAATGACAAGACATGAGATGATTGCTTGCGGTTCTAACACTATGGAAGTATAGAAATACCTAAGCTCAGTTTGCCTTCAAATTTTTGAATGGCAGAAGGATATTATTTCAAAGTACCCATCCAGCATTCTGCCACTACAAATGAAGATGCCTTTTAGGTCTAAATCCGTATGCCAAAGAGAAGCTTCACCATCTATGTGCTTGAAAATCGCGGACCACACACTTTATTTCGGACTCATGAAGCGTTGGATGATCTTGTCACTTGCAATTAACATCATCTCCATACATCCATGATCAATCGCTCTAGCACACGATTGATGTATCAGTGATTTTGGAACCTCTACTTTACGACAACATTCCAATGTCTACTCATCCCATCCACCCAAATAACCCCCCTTTCCAATTACGCAGATCCAGCACTCAGCATCAGGCAACGAAATCCAACGACCCCTCCAAAACTGCACTCATTCCACCTGAACTGTAGATTACATAACAAACATAAGGCCCCTCCCTCTCTTCGGACCGACTAAACATTGAAAACCGGTGAGCGAGACGCTTTCGTCCCAAAACAGTGAACAATTGCTTTGGTCTAGGTGTTACTCTGGAAATGTATCTAGGAAATATGAAAAGCATGGGGGTTGATTGTTGAAGGGAAAGACGGATTGCCACATCTGTCTTGTCTGTTTGTCTTTCGTCTTGAAAGGTTGACGTGATTGTGTTGCTGTACTGCTTTGTGTGGCGATCGAAATCGAAGAGCATAGTCTCTCAAAAAGGCCTCTAGGTCGTTAATCATACTCCAGAAAATTACTCCGGATGGAACTTACCTATTCTACGTTCTGTTCCCACCCCCCAGAACGAAAAAAGAAAGGCGAAAAACCAACATACACGACCAACTAAATGGCTTTTAACAACTCGCAAAAGAAAGAAGACGAGTCGAGTCTAGTTCCGCACAACAGCACCAATGTCGGCAACATTTAGCAGACATATGAACGGCATAGCCACAGTAGGTAAATATAAGTAATGATCTATCAGACAGTTCGAAGTGGATTGATGTCTGTGTATCACGGGTATGTGCATACTCTCCGCATACATACAATCAGTATATATATCGAGTTAAAATTATGATAGCAGGCCCGTTGTTTACCCTGATGGCAATGATAATGCAAAAGGTCATGTATATCAGATTTATGAGTCCATTAGAAGCATCCAACGTCACAGATATATGTATCCCTGAGACCTCAGCATAGGGAGAAAGAGGAAAAAAAACCTAAGCCTGCTCATCATGATATATAAGAACCAACAGCACAAAGTGCAAGTATTGAAGCATCAATCACACCTCACGAACCTCACTTCTCCAACTCGCCCTCCCAAGAATAGCACAGCCGGACCCTAACCGCCTTATCCCCCTTCCTAACCACAAATCTCCTAACAAACCACCTCTCCTTCTTCCCCGCAACCTCCTGCTCCGCGAACCCCCAAACCTGCCACCCAGTCCACCCGGCCTTGTCATTCTCCACATAACTCTCAATGACACCCCCCTCGCCCTGGTTCTCCTCAAGCCACCCGGTGACCAGGTACTCCGCGTCCTCCTTCAGCACGGGATTCCCTGCGTTCTCGGCGCGGATCGCCGCGAGGGAATTGGTGCGCGTCTTGCCGCGCACGTCGCCGAACAGCCAGTCCGAGTGGTCTTTGTAGGTCCAGTTGAAGATGCGGGTTTCCGTCGTGCCTTTCAGCCCGCCAGTCGCGAACTGCTCGATTGTGATTTTGCGCGCGCCGGACTCGGCGTCAGTGGTGGTAGAGAGGTGTTGGTGGACGGTGGCGAGGGTGACGGCGCGGCGGGTGAGCCAGGAGATGCCTTGGAGGGAGAGGACGGGGTCGATGGGATCGGAGATCTTGGTTTCCTGGGGAGGGAGGGAGGGTTAGGGGGAGGATGTGGTGGTGGATGGGGAGGGAGAGCTTACGATGACCCATTTGCCGTCGAGGTTGTTGATGTTGACGGTTGAGGGGGCGGCCATGGTGGAGGTGCTGAATGTGGTTTGCTGCGCTTCAGGTATGAATGACTGTGTGGATTACCGTATATCGATCTCGATTGGGTATATTTGAAGAATAGAGAAAGAGTTGCAGTTTAGAAAGTCTTCGAGTTTGAAGCTTGAGCTGTGACGCCTTCTAGGTACTAACGACGAGATGGTGGGGTGATTGGTGTGGGGATAGTTTTAAGACGAGGGGCCTTGTTCCAAAATCTTCAGGTCGAAAGAATTCGAATAAAGAATTTCTCACCTTCCCATCCTGCCATTTAATATATATGCAAACCGCCACAGAGCTCTGCATACGAGAGCGGCAGGGCAGTGAACGGTGTAGTTCACTTCACGTGTTTGTTTGTTGTGCGTACCTGAGCTGTCATAGGTGCAATCCGAGATGCCTAGGTAGATGCCATTTCGGGATAGTCGGGCTGGGGCTGGGGTTGACTGAGCTTGTAGGTAGTGGTTCTTCGCATCGCGGGGAATCCCTGCATTATGCTCAGTCGGGTGGCTGCTCCGTAGCGGTTCGTTGTGCTAGACTACAACGAGTATCTGACAGTGGGATTGGCGGAGAGTTGCAAGCTCCGAGGTGTTTGCATGATAGGTAGGTATTGAGGTTGTCGTTTGCATGTGCTGAATCCAAGATCTGGGCATTGGAGGCTGTGGAAATGCTGATTTCGTATACGTAGGCAGACATCGTACACTTCGGATTTCCTTGGACGACGGGATGCCGGGCCTGAATGTCATGATGGTTGGATTGATTGATTCTAGAAGACTCGTAGCATGTGAAACACATTTCTCCCCTGTTCCTATTTGCAAGTCCTTTTTGACGCTTCCTAAATCGTCATTAGAATGCCGACAGATGCTATCGGCACAGTACGCCTGCAATCCCTAAGCTCAGCTCCAATATTGCTAGATGCTCGTCTGCTCCATCGACAAGCCTCTTGTCCGTTTCACTGAATAGTCCTGCACACCGCACCTTTTGCACGTCTCCCACCCGCTCGTCGTACATCACCTTATCGTACAGCTGTCCGAGTGTTTGTACTGCGCTCCACCCATCCGCGACCATGTCCTCGACCACAGTTGCGATCTTTTTGTACTGAATTGACTTCGCGGTAGTTGATGGATAGATCGACGTCCAGAGCTGCTCAAGCGTCGCTGTCGGAATAACGCCAGCAATCTCTTGTATCGTAGTCTTCGTAATGGCATCTGACCCTGTGGAGTCCACATCCATCGCATCCTCATCCTCTTCATCTTCAACAACCTTCCGTTTCCTCCTCCCCGCAGCCCCATCCTTATTCTCAACGCCCGCAAGCCTCGCAGCCGACTGCAAGAAAGTAATCGCCTTCCTCAGATCCCCCTCCGCCACCCTAACCAACTCCTCCTCAACCCCCTCCGCCATCTTCACCCCCTCCAACCTCGCAATATCGCTGACCCTCCCCACCGCATTCGCCTGATCCAGACTCTTGAACCTAAACTTGCTGCAACGACTCGCCAGCGGGTCGATGATGCGCGTGACATAGTTGCACACGAGGCAGAACCTCGTCATCTTCGAGTACGTCTCCATGGTGCGGCGGAGCGCGCTCTGCGCATCCTGCGTCATGCTGTCCGCCTCGTCCAGCACCACGATCTTGAACGGTGGGCACGGGTACTTGTCTCGGTACCGCACCAGCTTGCCCTCGCCCGTCCCGTCGTCCGTCATCACGTTGTACGTTGGTGCGGAGGAGAGTTGCTGCCGCGCGAAATCTTTGACTTTGGCTCGCACGATGGAGATGCCGCGCTCGTCTGAGGCGTTGAGCTCGAGGACTCGCGTCTTGATGAGGTCGGGGCCGTAGAGCTGCTTTGCAAGGGCGAGGATCGTCGAGGTTTTGCCCGTGCCTGGCGGGCCGTAAAAGAGCATGTGGGGGAGGTTGGAGGATTGCAGTGTGCGGGAGAGGATTTGGATGGTGTTGTCTTGTGCGGCGACTTCGGAGAGGGTCTTTGGACGGCTGGAGTTCGCAGTTAGTCTCAATGTGGTATCTTGAAGCTGTTGAGCTTATTGCTTGCGTGAGAGACTTACTATTTTTCAACCCATGGCTGTAATCGATTTGGCTCCTGTTTCGTTGTAGGTGCCTTAGATGAGCTTGCTTGGGCAGCCGCAGCCTGCCTAGCTTTTATGTTGAAGAAATCCGCCATCGTGGGTGGCTCAATGCGATATTGTGAAGATGACGAGAAGTGTGGAGGGTTAAAGTGCACCGACGCGTCGTCGCAAAACGCGGGTTCACGTTGTTCAGCGTGCACGGATCACCACATATTATCGACGTGCCAATCACATCATGACATCACATTGGAAGAGTGCTCTATGGATTAATTTGATATTGTATTGCTTTTTATTTCTCCCAAGTACTGGGAGTACCTTCTCTGCCTATACACTCAGATCATAATTCCCGCGGTGCTATCGACATTGTTGTGTTCAGCACCGCTAGTGGCCGCAGGCCAATCCCCGCACCAGTCCCTACCAGAGGCCGTTGACATGAACCTTCTGGTTCCACCATTGCAGGACCATGCGGTCGTGATCGAACCTAAAAGGTACGATTGCTTTGAAGGAAGATGTCACCTTCCTTTCAAGCTAACGCCCTTGACCCTCTTAGCCAACTGTGACGACTCAGAGTCAGAGCCATGAGAGGGCACTCGGCGCAAGGATTTATCTCCCTTACGATGAGCAACCCCCTTGTCAAAGCCCGGGACTGAAGGTGTGTAGGAACGTTTGGGGGGTCGCTCACCTGTTTCCTTGAGGATTGTCAATAGGTTGGCCCAGCCTTCGGAGTGTTGTAGTTGGTATCCATCAGAAAGATCGTGCTCAGCCGCTACTTTGCACAGCAGTGCTTCTTCACCCTAGGAGAAGTAGTGTTAGAATCTGATAGTCAAGCAAGTCATAACTGTACTTACCTGGCCAAGGATACCCATACTATGGATAAAGGTGAGAAGGTGGAAGTTAGAAACAGCATTGAGTCCGCTCGTGGTGTTCAGAGCAACACCATTGGCCCTGGAGTTCAGCGCCTTTGCCAATGCTCCGAACTCCTGCGTCTCCCCCATAACCTCTCGGTTCTCGATAGGGAATTTCGAGCCAGTGAAGGCTGGACTTGGTTCCTTGGGGAAACCGTTTGTTAATGACACTAACAGATAGTCTACGGGGAATGCTGGCTTTGCGTTCTCCTGCACGTTGGCGCCGTATTCGTTGACTTTGCGGAAGAACACTTCGGGGATGTAGCGTGCTCGGCCAAGGGCTTCGTTGTCGTCCTCCGTCTGCACCAGCATGACCGAAGGTTCAGCTGAAGGCTCGATGATATCTGCTCGCACCATCTCTACCGCTGCATTCGACGCCTGGTATGCTGAGATGCCGATTTGACCCTTGTCATCACCGCTGACAACGCATGTGACGAAGTTCGAGCCGAATCGACCCGTCTCACTCCACTTCGATGGGCGCGGGTGTTTCGCCTGGTATCGTGCTGCAAATGCGATCTCTAACGACGAAAGGAAGTAAGAGTCAATGTGTCGCTTGCAGATGACCGATCCGTCTCCCTCTCCTGCATCTAGAAGATCTGTGTAGATTACACCGACCTTCTGCAATCCACAGCGTTTTGCCACCTCGTCGATTTCCTTCTCGTTCTCCCACTCTCCTAGCGATATTCCGTCGAGCTCTCCTACTTGTGGCGGTTCGTAGATAGCTTCAACAATAGCCTTTGTGCCTAAGGGTACTTCGTCGTACTGCTCGTACCGACCGTAAAGGAAGCCCAGCCGTTGGCACCCAGTTGCTCGCCAGAACCCGATCAAATCATCCACGATACCCATGGATGCAAATTCCACGTGGTCCACCATCCGATATTCCTGTGGCTGTAAAGAGATGGCGCTGGGTTGGCACTTGGTGCAGATGCCTTCTGGAAATGGCTTGTGTCCGGAGGGGCAGTCTGGGCGCACGCGATAGTATGGCTCTGTGAGAGGGGGCATGTACGAGCTTCCACTCTCGGGTTTGTTCTTTCCTGCGTTGATCTTTCTCAAGTATGAGTGAAACGAAAGGTGCTTGATCTTCTTATCACCAAGGTACTCCGGTGCATACGGCTCCAACGGCATGCAGTAATCGCACATGCCTTTGGGACCGTGTCTGCACATCTTCTGGTCCAGCTTCCGCGGTATCTTTCCATCGAGCTTGTCCAGCTTGTCGTCGAGTGGCGACTGCTTTACTGTTTCCCATGGATTCTTGATCAACTGTGTTGGGGAACCGATGGGTACTGAGGGTTCTGCGTCAGGCGAGACGGCGCGTCCGTTAAGTCGAGCGGGCCCCGAAGGAGCTGCGGGGTGTCCATTTGATATCGTTGACTGGTCCTGGTAATCAAGGAAGAGCTCTGCACCGTTGCTGTGCGTGTGTTAGCTATGCTGGGAGGGTAGGGCAAGCTACCTACGTCAGGCCGACCTGCTCGAACGTCACGCCTTTGAGCGAGGTCAACTTCCTTGCATCCCCACCCTGCGGCCTGTTACTGACGGAGATGCTGGAAAGGTCTACATTCTTTGGCAGCTTCTCAGCGATGTCCGAGATTATGTCTGGGAATGTTGTTGTGGGTTCAACGGTGAGTCGAAAGCGCCCGTCTCTGCTCACGAATCGGAGTATCATGGCTATTGACAGCTGCTAGTGATGGTGTTGATGGAGGGCGTTTGAAGGTTTGATGGACGGAAAGAAGGGAATGGGAAGCTGTAGGTATTACTAGACAGCGAAGCCGTGATATCGTTGAAGTGATGGGGAGGCAAATGTGACCTGGGAACAGTTTAGTAATTTGTACGGAGTGTTGTTGCTTAAGAAGCTGAGGTAGGTCAATGTAAGGTTAATGTGATTAGGTAGAACCATAGAACCATAGAAGGCAACCGAATGACGAAGGGTCGGGCCGGACGCGATATTCTGCCACTTCACCGCCTTCGCCCCCAGGACTAGCAACTCGCAAGCACCCATGTCACACGTTTTAAGGACACCTATTCGGCATCCACAATAGCCCATTGACTGTCACTGACTCTGTACTATTATTGCGCGCCGCCGCCAAAGAGATCTCAATTTACTTTGTCTTTCAATCCACCACCAGCTTTCCTTTTTCCTTCTCCTTCTTCTTATTCTCTTCCCTCCCATCTTCGGTCGCCCCATGATACCGCCGCCACTCATTTGATCCTACACCTTAAACCTTAAAAACAATAATCATCCTCTTCGCGATTCTCTTCACAAACCACCCAAGATGTGGCCTTTCGACATCGTCGACTGGCTGATGCTCGCCGTCCCAATCGCCTACCTCTTCGTCCTCATCGGCTCCCTCGCCGTCTTCAGCTCCCTTTATCGCAAGCGAAAGGCCGCCAGCGCCGCCTCCCTCGAGCCATGGTTCCCCCCGCACCTCCAGCGCAACGTCTACATGTCCCTCCTCCACATGGAGAACCCCAAGGTCCCGGACAGCATCCTCAAAGCCGCATTGTTGCGAAGAGCAACTGAGGACATCCACCGCATCGTGCAGGTCAGGAATGCGAAGCAAGCGCTACAGGTCCTGCTGCAGAGGGGCAGCGTCGGGGATGATTTGTGGAAGAGGTTTCAGAGGGCGGAGAAGGAGATCGAGGAGGAGTTGAGGGATGTGGTCAGCGAGGTAAGTCGTCTGTCTTCGACATTTCAAATCGCAAATGTCTACCCGTCAAATGTGATATGCTAACAAAAGGTTTCAGGCCAATGCATTCGCACCGAATTGGGGTCAGACTATCTTCCAATCCGCTTCAGAAATGGCACAGAACACACACATCCGGGAACGCCTGAACGATATATTGTCTACATCACAGTCCGAGAAGGAGTGGTGGGAGAAGCGAAAGGCGACCATCCAGTCGGAATTCATGAAGGAGCTAGATGATGAGAAGGAGGCGAGCGTGGTCAGTCCTGTCAAGGGTAGCGATGACGATGCTGTCCTCGTTGAGGGTGGTGGTCCTGCAGACTCGCTGAAAGGCAAGAAGAAGAAGGGAAAGAACTGAGTCGAACCCAGAGATGGGACTTATGATAGGAGAGAGATGAATGAGGCCGCAGTGGAGCCGGCACACTCGTAGGAGCAGCGCATAAACAGCATTACTATTGGCTGCGAAAAACGCAGGATCGAGGGAGGGCAGGACAAAGGTGTATAGACAGACGTATCAGACATTGCATTGCCGGCGTTGAGGAATTGGAGTTTGACACGGACAACCGTGGAATCATCTCCCCACCTGGCGCTGGAAAGAAGCGGCGCAAACGCTTCTCGTGTACGAACACATTTCGAGTTTTATTTTTCCTTTCAATCAGACTTTTGATATTCTCATCTCAGGTGTTTGTTTCCTTGATGTGCTTTAAATTGCAATGCTACTTGACGCCATTTGACCTTACTTAACCCAGTGAAAGCCAGACATGATAATACACTTCCCACCTTATAATAATAGTCTAGAGACCGAAACGTTCTCATACAATCAAATTTACATTTCCCCTCGTGACATCCCCTTTTACTTCCTCTGGGGTCCGCTGACACCAGCTCCGATGACGCTTGGCAACTCCTCGCTGCCCATTGAGTACAGCATTCCAATGGCGCTACTGATCAAGAAAGCAATGATCACACCGGTGGAGACGAACAGCCAGAATGGGGTAGAGATGTCCTTCTTTTGGCAAGCGGGTCCGCCCCAGTACGTCGTCCTCTTGCGCTCCTCCATACCATCTCCCCCGACGAACTCCACGGTAGGCTCACACTGGCAGTGCCAGCAGTCGACACGTCCGGTACCCTTCTTTCCTTTTCGATTCACGCAACCTCCGTCGACACCTCCGTGGCTGCTGCAGTTGTTCGTCTGCTGGATGCAGGCATCTTGAGATGAGAAGCAAGACGGGAGTATTCCTCGAATGGGTGCTCCTGGTTTGGCGGCAGAGATGATTGGGAAGTCTTCCAAGTTGCTGACCTTGGCCTTGGGGGGTTGGGAAGGCTGCGAAGATGATGGAGATAGGAATTCTTCAGTCTTGGGGCGGCGGAAATCGGTATCGCGGGGAATGTCAAAAGCGCCATATGGATTAACGTCGCGCTTGCTCTTAGGGCCAGATGGCGGCATGAGAACAACTGTGATGGGCCAGCCCTGCTCCCCAGAGGCTACACTCTCCTCCAACAGACCCGAAAGCGCCTTAGCAAGTTCGGAGCTGGACAGCTCGTCCTTCTTGACTGCGTGGAACGTGCTCAGGTACTCATTGTGAATACCAACTGCCTTCAATGGTTTCAACCACTTTTCGATGGTGATTCCGTCGGTGTATGTTCGTCCAAAAGCATCCTCTTTCTTTGGTAGCGATTCCGCTTGCGTGGCGATGGCGCGAATCAGGCGGTCGTTATCAGCTCCAGAGGGAGGGTCTGCGACCGTGAATTGTGCGGAGTAGGCTGAAGAATCGGAAATAATGGCTAATACAGATCGTCAGTTATTCCTCCAGCTTGGATGATTATTTTGGTATCTACCTGATGCATCTTCCACATCATCAATCCACACCAACACCCGGGCCTCTGACAGATCCCGTTCATTAGAGTTATCTCCTCCAAGGAGTGTCTGTGTCCGTCCGGAGTATGCGTTAAGCTGTTCAATGGCCTCTTCACTTGGGTCATCGATCGAATGGAACTGCGAGACGCCCAATCGTTGCGCCAGAATCCATCTTGCGGTCTCCGGGGTTACTGACGATTGCAGGGGCGCGGCTTTGGCAGAGGCGGGATCATAGACAAAGACATGGCCAGCCTTCGATGCTGCGGACGCGGAAATAAATAGCGAGGACACTGCGAAGCTCCAGGATAGCTTCATGGTGGCGGTGGGTGTGATAACAGCTATCAAGGTTGAAGCTGTAGTTGAGTTAGAGCCAGACGTCAGCGAGAGGCGCGCGGTGCAACTTGAGCTTGGCATGCGATGCACAGACAGTTTTTGCGTCGCGCTATTCTGTCTCCGCCGACCCTCGATAAGTTATTGTCGATGTATAACTTCTAGCCCGTAGACATAACATGCCATTATTCAATAATCGTTATCTTTCTCCCTTCTGCCGAACCGCGTGATCCCTCACTTATTTGACTTGAGCAATTCAGCCCCAGGTTTCCACCACGACTACAGTTCACATGCCTTTCACCACCAGTATATCCACCTCGTAGCCCCACATCTAATACCCTCAACCAGCCATGTTCAAGGCACAGGTCTTTCGGAGAGGTTTCTCAATATGGAGACGGCGGGTTCCAGAGTCCCAAATCATTCGGTCCGCGATCCGCGATGGTCATGAGACGATACAAATACAGCGTGTGCGCATTAATACGCCTTTGATCAGTCGATCGTATGTATATTGCCACATTCGACAGTGACATGTACTGACATCAATCAGACGTATGATAGGCACAGTGGTGACGACTATCGGTACATATCAGTTCTTGAGGTGGCTAGATGACGATGAGGAAGAGGAGAAGACGGATACACAGGTCGGGAGACATCGACAAGGTGGTGCGCAAGTGAATACATGGCAGCAAGTCACTGCCGATACTACATTCGAAGAAGACGAAGAGGATGATGATGTTCTGCTATTCCTACCCACGGGACTTTCACGGCCGAAGCCCCGAGAGTATTACAAAGGCTCAGATCCCGAATGGCAGGGGTTCCTAGAGGTTTCGAGGAATCCGGAACGGGTACGGCAGATTCGACGTAAGTTGTCCTTCGCATTTTCCAAATCAACTAGCTGAATCATTCAGGGGACTTCACTCGAACCGTCCGCGGCGAGGTAGCGCGTGATACCCAGTACAAACGGCTGCTGGGCGACATAGAACAGAACAAGGGCAATGTTTGGATCGATGTCGTCTTCCCAGACGGTCCTCCTCTCGAATATGAACGTCCGGGTATTGAGATCACAGACAACCTGGAAATCCGTCGGTCATTACAACCGGTGCAACATATCCATCATCACCAGTTGCGGAACACACTTATGCCCATCGCCGCGGCAAATGCTGCGTACATGGACATCAAGCGTCGTTTTTGGGTCGCTTGGATAAAGGTCAGAAGAAGCTTGGGCTACCCTGTGAAACTTGACGTCTCAGACTTTGCATATCGACATGCTTTGATAATATCCCAGCCGACCGCATCTCCTTCACCGCGGACGACCAGCCAAGTGCCACAACATGAACCTACGGGACAGTCATCCACTTTATCTTCAACATTCCAACAAGAACCGCAAGGTACATCAGATCCTAGTAAATCCATTCTGGCACGGTACGCTCCTAAATTGCGTATCGATCGAGATATGGTTATAAGTGGAAAATTGTTCCGCAGCATCATGGAGCAAGCACATAGTCAACAACAAGAGCCACCGCCGCGTGGTAATATCATTCTCACAGGTATGGTGGAGGTGGTTGGAAGCCGCGCTACCATTACCTACAATGTGATCGGGCATTATGATGTCAAAACTGGAGAGTTTCAAAATGTAAAGTATTTCCACAGGCTTGCTCGAAGTCGTAAGCAGAGTCCACGTGGCGGACCATAATATTCTGCACAATGGAGCTGGTTGAATCATAGAGGAAGCATTCCGGGCGCTTAGGGAGGTTCATTGCATTGCATCAGCGAGGACGGTATTTCTAGGGCATTTTCAGCGTCATTCGGATTTTAGGGCTCGATGGGAGATTATTGGTGTTCGGGTCTCGTTGTGATACATATCTTACGCCTTCGTTCATAATGAAATGCTTCGATTGCCGATGATACTTTCATTCTAAACGGGCCATCAAACCCCGCAAATACTGAACATCCGCTGCTCCAAGTAACAACGCACAATAGGACGGCGAGTACATCCGTTGCCGAGGATATATTCACAGTGCTTACCGACCCTCTTCTCAACCAGTCCGCTTCAACAAAGGGTCGCATCTCCAGGTCATGCAGTAGCACACGCATCCACCTGCAGTATCACAGAATGGCCATCCGTCAAACGGTGTACAGAAGCACGGGCTATCACATCCGATATGGGAAGATATAGATGGAGCAATGGTCCCAAACTCTCCTACGTTTCCTTCCCTTGGGAAACACTCTTAAAACTGGACTTGGGTGGCCCACTAACATCCAAGACAGACCTTTAAATCATGGCCCCAACACTGAACGCCAGGTCAATAGTCATCTTCATATCCGCATCAGTCTTCCCATCTTCAACTTCCGCACACACACACCCATTCTCAGAAGACCCCAACCCCACCGAACTCATCCTCTCCATCGGCACATTCATATCCGTCGCCCCTAGCTTCATCATCCCCCTCGACACAACCCAAAACCTCCTCGTCGACAGCATCTCCCCAACCCCGACTCGGAAATTCCATTTCCCCTCCATGAACCCCTCCAGCACACTCCTTTCCACCCAAGCCTTCGCCGTCGCCGGCGTCTCAACCCACAAAGCCGCGGCTACGGAAACGCCGAACATCGACGACATTATTGGCAAGACGGTCGTCTCGATCTCGCATGCTGGCAGCACCAGCGCTCCGCCTTCCCAGCAGAAGGCATCGCCTAACAGCAAGATCGAAGATAACGAGCCACAGGGCAGACAGGTTCTCGTCCTGAGCACGGTGCTTGCGTCTGTCGCCGGGACGTTGGTTGGACTGGCAGTGATGTGGTATTTCCTAGCGAGGAGGAAGAAGATGAGGAGGCGTATGGAGAGGGAGGAGATGAAGAAGGAAGGGGATATCCAGAGGATGAGGAGCGTGAATGGGAGGCCCGCTTGTGAGGAGTGGAGGGGCGATGCGGTGAAGGATGATGGGCCGCCGGTTCTGGTGCTCGAGGGGTTGGAGAAGGGTGTTGGGTTTGATGTCAGGGTCCAGGGAAGGAGTTGAGTTAGGAAAGGGGATTTGAGGGATGGGTTGAAGGAGGTAAGGGTTTACGATGGTGGTGTTGAGAGTTTGCTATCAAGTATGGGATATCACTATATTGGATTCGAAAGCCTTGGGTAGTGGAGAAACCCATTAACGTGATCAATGATTGAACTACTTTTTTTCTTAGAAAAAACATACACATGAAGAATCAATGAAGAGGGTGTGTGTGTTTTTAATTCAGCGCGGTGCATATATTCTTTATTTTCATTGTTGTATTTAGCAAATCGAAATGTTTTAACATCATGAGCATCAGCCAATGCCCTCGTTCCACGACACCACAAACATACAAAGTGTTTTCATACCCATGATAGAATCAATAATACAAGGCCATCATCACTCCAATTGAAACATTTCAACGGTATGTTGGAAGATATCGAAGCCAAGTCGACAAGGTGGACGTTAGTGATGCTGAACATGCATAATGGTCCGTGCACATATCTGCGTACCAATACATGATATTGTAATCTCAAACCTGTCAACCTCCAAGCCAATATGATCTTCCAACATGGCCGTGAGTGAAACCGATGCCCAATAAAATACTATATCTAACAAGAAAAGAAATATGACAGTGTCCACATCTCAAAAGGCGTCCTCCTCGGCATGGGCGTCTCTGGAATTGTCGAGAAACCTCTTGATTCCGCCTATGTAATCAAGACGCCCTGCCCGGGAGAAGACTACGATCAGTGCAGGAAAGACCTTGATCTCGAGAGACGGGTTTATGAGTTACTAGGGAATCATCCTCGACTTTTGAAGTTTTACGGCCAGGATGAAGGGGATGGGTCGATTAAGTTAGAGTATGCGCTGAATGGGACGTTAAGGGATTACATTGCCGAACATCAACCTAGTATGGATGAAAGACTCCGTTTCGCAACAGAGATCACAGAAGGATTGGCCGTATTGCACGAATCAGGAGTCGTGCATTGTGATTTAAGTCCTCGAAATGTCCTCGTTGACGCGGAGATCGGGTTGAGGATTGCGGACTTCAGTAGCGCCTCTATTGATGGATCACCGTCTTCTGCCGGAGGCTCTGTGAGATTTCAGATTCCACGAAACAACCCTTGGAAACCGACATATCAGGACGACATATTCTCGTTAGGTTCGACTCTTTTCGAGGTCATGACTAGCGCAGGTCCTTACGACGGTTTGGAAAGTTCAATGGTTATAGAGCGTTTCAGAAGCAAACAATTTCCAGATTCGAAGGGTGTAATTCTTGGAGACATCATTCAAAAATGCTGGAATCTCCATTATTCAAGTCTATCTGATGTATTACCAGCTTTACAGAAAGCCGTAGACCTAGGAGACCAGAATCAATCCACGTAAAGCCTCGATACTATCATATCCTCGCTTTAAATTCATGTTTGAATTCATGTTTGAGAATATCCCTCGTCACGATGAAGTGGACATTGCGTTCGGGAAGTCCTTTGACCCATTACTTTCTCGGTCGGGTTGGGACAGATCGTGCCCGTACTTGCGGCTGTAGCGCAGTATGATATCGTTCGTTTTGTCGAGTTGCATGCAGTTGAGCACATCGCGTACTTGGTTGTCGTGATTAGAATTTCACACATCCTATCTAAAGTGAGATTTAATCACTAGCTTAGTATTTTGCGACCCTTGTGAATCGATTTTGTCGTAGCCACCTACCTCTGAAGCGTACGCATGATGTGCGTAGGTTTGTCTGGGTAGAGTAGGAGTCGATTACGTCGGAGAAGGCTGAGTCCATTTGGTCTCCAGGCTGCAGTCATGCGCAACAACCTCCCGGGAACTGTCTCGTGATAGTTGAGATCAGCATTGGCGAGACGTCTCTATGCAAGCAACCCGATTCGGCACATTATTTGCTATCACTGGCTGTACCCTGCGCTGAGGCGGGCACAGCTCAATAAGTGTTCTGTATTGTAGATACTATATCCTTCTTTTTGGTTTGTTCTGAGATCTATAGGTGGATGCTGTCCCCTCTATATATGATGGAAGGCTGTACTCGTTTTGTGCCCTCATACAAAGCCTCGCGTAACACTTCAAGTGGCACAACTGACAGTACTCTTATTCATGGCCGTATAGATGATATCAGCCATTCCGAACCACGAGATCAGCCATCGTAAGGTTTTACACTCATTAAGGAGTTACTCACTGTTTATCATAACTAATCATGACAAACCAACTGGCCAGGTTTCCCGCCATTTAAGACGTGCGGCGATGTCTTATTCGAAATACCTTCATTTCAACAGCATTGACTCTTAGCATATTATATGGACTTGGTGAATCACATTTCATCTGCCGAACTCTCCGAACCCGTTCTATCATGTAGCTTTCTTCCTGTAATCTAGTCTGATTGGCTTTTTTGGACACTTGATGATTGCGCCTGAAGTTTGGAACCACCTAATGCTTGTCCCATGTCCATTAACGAGGACTTAAGAGTAACATGCCGTAGAATGTCTTAGTTTGAAATCTGTTAAAGCACAATAATACATGTCAACAATCAAGATACAACATGTACGACTGACATCCCAAGAAGTTCGAAACAAAATACTCAACTATTTGCGCATCGAGCAAAGTCTGATCGTTTTATGATACCCTCCACGTCATCTCGATGTCCAAGTACTACGTGTTCTAGTTCTATTGACAGAGACGCTGAGAAACATCTCCTACACGTTACTTGTAAGAGAACCTGTCAAAAATTCGCCTTCTCTCACTCGAGACCTTGTATCTTCATTCGCCAATATGTCCACAAGTTAGACCATTGAGTCATTCCCTGTGTAGGGATATACCTTTCCATACCGTTCTGAGATCTTCCCCTCATGCTCTACCGTACACCACCCGTATCCTTGAAATCAACCTCACCTCACCTCATCCCATAATCCCACTACCACAATTCCTATTACCATTGTAAGTAGGCAACGAATGTAATAGCACAGAGTATTAATTCCCCGTAACGGTCGACTAGTTCTCGCTGGTAAGGAGCATTACCACATCCGACCTCGACGCTGCAGGGTTGACCTCGCACGGAGAAAGATTGCTGTTTCATGCCCTGGAAGGAAACCCCTTTCAACGAGGTGAGTGAGTCGACGACGTCCAAGCGTTTCCGAGGGGAGTCAAGTTTCTGAGGAAAATGTTTTTGTTTCTTCTGGTACTTATGTTTCAACATGCTTCTTTTTCAACCAGTTGCAAGAAATTGGTTGGACTTGGTGTTTTCGAAGCCTCAAGACTATCTCCCGCCAAAGCAGGACGGACTATCAGAATGCCGACAACGAGGCGATGCCTGGAAGAAGGGAAAGGATGAATGCTAGACAACTGGTCGACAAGAAACTACCACCTACTTTCAAAAAGATACTCGCCATAATTATGGGACCACATAACCAACCTAACCCTGTCCTGACTGGCCATCCTCCACACTCGCCCTACAACATGCACGCATACACCCATCTACGGGGCGGCGAACTGCAATGATTCATACGAATATGTAGTCTCAAAAACAGCACACACATGCAATTAAGACCTATATCATTACATTCGAAGTAATAACAAACACATAGTACATAACCCAACCCACCCCCTCCCTTCCCCTCCCCTCTTCTTCCCTTCCCTTCCCTCCCTTCACGCGGTGAACACCACCACCACCTTTCTCGCCCGTCAACCACCACCACCACCACCACCACCACAACAACCAAACATCAAAAACCCCTGAAACCAAACACCTCCATCTCCCCATCGAAAATGTCCACCACCGCCAGCACCACCACCAACAAAAAAAAGAAACCAAGCATAAAGCCCCTCCCCCCTTCCCCCCCCTCACCCTCAAGCTCCCGCCCGTCATCCCCAACAACAGCAATCCCCCACCGCCCCACAACCAGCGCCACCGAGAACCTCCTCACGTCGAACCGCCGCACCGCGTCGGCTAACTACATCGCGGCCCAGCGCGCCGAGCAAGCGTACAAAGCGAAGAAGCGGTCCGCGGGCGCGCAGGTGCAGAGAGTGGAGGCGAAGGAGCATTTCAGGCGTGCGGGATGGCATTTGAGGGAGGGGGGGAGGTGTTTGTGGGGGTGCGTGAGGGCGGGGCCGTGGGTGGTTAGGGGGTGGATTGGGGGTTGGAGGGAGAGGGGGGAGAGGAGGAGGGTTGAGAGGGATTTGGAGAGGAAGAGGAGGTTGGAGGAGAGGTTGAGGGGGAGGGAGAAGAAGGTGGAGGAGGATGGGGAGGGTGGTGACGAGGAGGAGAAAAAGGAGGGGGAGGAGAAGAAGGAGTGAGGGTGTTTGGGACGTCGTGGGCGTGGTGCTCAACAACAATCTGTGGAATCTGTTCTTTTCTTTTGTCATGTGGGTTGGCAATTCGACTTTATTTGTTTTAATCTCTCCGATCACTATTCCCATCTCTTATGTTTCAAAACTTTTGCGATCCATATAAGTCATATGGCATAACGGACGGCGCTCAGGGGTATCATTAGATAAACCCACCAGCTCCAACAGGTCACTGAGCCATTCATGACACCAGCCATTAATCAACCATAATTGTTCAAACCTCAAGTCTTGAGAATCTTTCGACTTACCTCGTACTCGTACAAAAAGCCACACCAATCCTCAAACAATACAAATCCTCTTCCGATTCGCCCTAACCTTCCCCCTCCCCATCACCTTATCCCTCTTCCTCTCCCCCGACCTCCCCTTCGGCCAGAACCGCTCGAACATCATCCCCGACCCCACTCTCTCCCACCTCGTGCCCTTGCGCCGCACAAGCAACACGTACAGCACCTTCTCTTTACCAAGCCTGTCTCTCAGGTCCTCGGCGCCAGTTTTTCCCGGGGAAGAGGAAGCGGTGGTGGTGAGGTGGCCGTTGCGCTCGAAGACTTCGAGGATCGTTTGGAGGCTGTCGCGGACGCGGTTCCAGGGTTTGAGCTTGATTCTGTACATTTTTATGAGGGCGTGGGGTTGGTGGGGGCCCGCAGAGGACGAGGAGGAAATGGAGGTGGTGGTGGAGAAGGAGGACATGGAGGAGAATGTGGAGGACTTTGATAGCGGTAGGAGGGATGCGTTGTTGATGGTGGCTTGCTGGATTATGGAGTCGTCGGGTGCGAGGGAGAGGTATCCGGCTATGGAGTTGCTGCCGCGGGGTCGGAAGAGGATCTCTGGGGTTGTTGTCGTGGCGAGACGGTGGGATGTTGATGTCGATACGACGAATTTGTCCCAGTCTGCGCGCTCGGCTTCGAAATCTAGTGTGTTGACTGGTTGCGGGGAGACGTCTTGGTCGGATTCAGCTGCTGCTGCTGCTGCTGTGACGGGTTTGATATTGATGCGGATCTGCTGCCCAGACTTATTAAACAGCCCCTCGCGGGCAGACTTATCCAGCACGGTCGTAGACAGCGACTTCTTACCCGCTGTCGTGCTCGTGATCTCGACATTCCTGATCAACGAGTGCAGCGGCAGCTTGACGGCGGAGTTCTTGCCTACGTTCGAAGTGTTCATCATCCACCCGACCCACGACCACGACGGGAACCCCTCTCGTCTCTTCTCTAGGAGCGGAAGGAGAGTGGCATTGGCCGCGGCCAGATGGCCTTGATCGACATTCGTGTTCCAGAGCATCGAGTAGCCAAAGAAGCTCGACAGCAGGCCGTGGACGACGGGCTGCCCGTTGCACCACTGCTCCAGGATAGACGCGAGCCCTGCGAACGCATTCTCGATGTCGCTCTGGAAACTCAATCGCTTCGAGCAGTACTGCTGCACCATGGAGACGTATGAGTCTAGCACTACGTGCTCGCAATGTGGCAGGAACCACTGCGGTCGCAGGTCGATCAACCCCCACGAGAACTCCCTGTGGTCGTGGATCGTCTCCTTAGGATGGGACTCGGAGCGCCGGGAGACGCCGCAGTGGAAGACGAGCTGGTGCTCGGTGACGAACAGCGTGCGCTTCGATACGATCAGCTCCTGAAATGCCCATCCCCGCGAGTCATAGACGGTCCCGAACAGAATATCGTCCTTGGTGACGGGGAGCTTCAACGACATTAGATACCGGCCCTGGACTATCGACGTGACTCTCGGTTTACGGGTGCCCGGCCTGACGCCCGAGAGCGGCGCGTTGGCGTCCTTGCCGCTGATCGCCACGATCGTGAGTTCCGCCTGCGAGAAGATGATGTCCATGTCGGCGAGATGCTGGTGCTTCTTCGCGGAGTCCTGTATGATGGAGAGGCAGTCCACCCACAGATACCGCACGCCCATCTTTCGCGTCAGCACAATGGCGTCGGACACCGTCTGCGGGAGCACCATGTCCTGCTTCAGCGATCCGGGCTGCTGGAGCTGCGAAAGGTTCTTCGACGTCGTGGTCGTGGTGATTGCGTTCCCCCAGACGTAACTCAGCGCGAAGTACTGGCTCGACGTCGACGTCTGCGTTATGCATTCGTCAAACACGTCCACCAGTATCACGTCTATCGGCGTCGAGTTCCGCAGCGGCAGCTCGCGGTGGTTGCAGTGCTTCCCGTGCATCTTCTTGCAGTGCTCGAGCCAATTCGTAGGAGTATCGACGTTAATCGTCTCGGGCACGTCGACCGGGGGCGCGCTCGTAGATGCACCGATGGACTGTCCACACCATTCATCTCAACGAACAGTACTCCAACAAGGGGAAACGAAGATCAAACTCACCACCTTCCCAAGCGACCTCAAACTCCCGAGATCCCTAATCTTCGTCGTCGCATACTCATGCGTCGAAGCGCAAGCCTGGAACGACACACCCACACCCATGCCCTCAGCCCTCCCCTTCTCCCCCTCTCCCCCTTCCTTTCCCGCAATAACAGCGACATCAAGATGCTCACCAACCATCGCACTAACAACCAACCTACAACACGGACACCCACCCACAACCCTCTCACTCTGCCTCCCGACCACAAACTCCCTCCCCTTAAACACCTCCCTCGCACAAAACGCACACAACTCCAACTTCCCACTACTCCTACCACCAAGCCCCCCCTCCCCAACCCTCCTCCTCTTCCCAGCAACAAGCTGCGATATCCTGACCGCCGCCTCCGCCGCCTTCCTGCGCTTCGGCGTCCTCATCCTCGGCGTTGTCTCCTCCTTCCCGTCTCTACCTTCTTTCTCTGCATCGTCAATGGCGGCACTTTTCCTCTTCCGTCCCTTCGACGGCGAAGGCGTGGTAGGTGAGGTGGTGGTAGGAGACGCGGGCGCGCAGTTCAGCAGCTTGCGCACTGTGTCCATGAGCGCGCTTGTCGCCATGTTTGACTGCTTTGCTCTTATCAATGCCCCGTTTTCCTTCGGGATTCCTCGTTAATTCGAAGCTTTCTTCACAACCGATCCGAGTTCTCGCGTCGGCGAAGAATGCGATGCGACGAACGTCGAAAAAAGGCTCCGGTCAACGACGTTCGGTGAGAAAGCGGAGATGTCAGCAGCAGCGAACGTGAGCGCAATTGGGGAAGGGATGGGAGGAGGGGGGGTTTCAGCCCCCGCCAACCCCCCATAAATAAATCCTTCGTGCATGGTCGGTGTGCCGGGGTCATGTTGTGGCGCATCGCTGCATTGGTTCAGCTGAGAGAGCGGGTGAGCGAACGGTGAGGGTGAGATGGGATAGATCAATAGATCAGCAATTTTATCTTGGGTAATTGGGTGAGGGTGAAGATGGGGTAATGAATCTATGGTGGGATTGAGAATAAAATCTATTGATGTCATGTGTAGAAATAGTAGATGGTGGAGAGGAGGGAAGGCAGGAGCGATGGTGCTGCCGCGATACTGCGGCTGTTCTCATCGTGAGGGCCCCGGGATGAACTCTCGCTTGTCAGCAGAACGACAAAATGTTTAACCAACGAGGGATCTCCCTGCGCTGGATGAATCTATATCACCGTCAATAGTGTCCAGCGTATCGCGGGGAGAACAATGATCGGATGTGGATAAGATGAGGTATATATATTTCATTCATGACGGTAGTAATCAAAAAGGGTTGGCGTGGAATGCACTGGATGATATATCCCAAGCATTCGCAATCATACACACGTACATACAATGAAGAAGAGTCTTCCTCATATTGCAAAGGGCTCTGCCTGGCAGGACAAAAGAGATATCAAGCATCCGTTAATGGCAGCCCATTGCATGCCAATATTCCCGTGTACCCAGTGTTCGATCTATACGAAAATCAAGAAAAGGAAGAAGAGAAACAAGATTCCCTCCATAGGTAGTGGCATGGATGGGATTCTCATCGGTCGTCAAAAAACTCATCAGTCTAAAATATGTCCTGTCGAACAATTGCGTAGATCGTAAACAGCGTGCCGGACAGTAGGAAAATGGAAATGAAAAGGCGCGCGTCGCTTTGCCCGTGGGCAGAAATGCGAAAGTATTCTCTCGTGTCGCAAATGATAACCGAAGTTGCGAAAACAAAAATCATAAATGGTGGTGATCCGGACATCAACACCGATCAGGGAAAAGAAAAAGAAACCATCGATCCAATGTGGAAGTGATGGAGTTGGTATGTATGGGGTGCGTGGGTGAGGAAAAAGCACATGCGATTGCGTCAAAGATGGCGCCATCCCAGTCATCCTTGATTCCAGGGGGCCCAACCCAATATAAATAGAAGCTCGCGCTGCCGCCTCCCAAAGACTCGTGTTAGAAGGGAAACGATGTCCTGCTAGACGTAGGATACTGCCGAACGCCGCTAACGAGAGCGAGGAAAGAGGAGGAAGCCGCACCAGCCAATTGACATCATCGCGTTCGCTGTTCTATCGTTACGTCTATCGTCACGAACCTCACATCTAGGTCTAAGACGTTGAAATTGAGCGTAAAGCACGACTGCGCCGACTGCGCTCACGGCGTGTCGCCTCGGAGGCTTTGTGACGCACTTGCAGTCGGGCTATCGTAGGATTCAAGGCCTTGCGCATCGTTACCGAAGCCGTGGAAACTGCCGTAGCTCTCGTTACGCCTCAACTCGCCTTCATCGTCCATATCCATGTCCATGTCATCGGGACTGAACCGTGGTGGAGGACCCATGCTGGACAAAGCTGAACGCATGGGAGGAGGCGGTGGTACACCCGCAGTGCTGATTTGCTGTGCTAGGCTGGGCTTCTCGGCGAGGTTGTTGAGCATGGCGCGAGATGTATCGAGCATCTGCACAGCATAGTCCAGGAACTCGGCGCGCTTGCTGCTGACGCTCAAGGTCCAGCGGTACTCGCGGAGACGGGTCTTGTAAAATTCGGCCTCCTCTTTCGCAGGTGCAGTGGCCCAGAGAAGAGAGCCAAACGTGCCAATGAGGGTGAAGTTGATCTTGGAGGCAAAGTACCAGAATCCTTGGAGGTGCTCCGGCTTGAGACGATTGACAAAATCCATGGCGGAGATGAGGCGCGTCTTTGCCGCATTTCGGCACATGAAGAATCCGTAGGGATCGTGTGTGGCGTGGTCGAGAGATTGCACGATACGACGATGAAGCGTGATCTCGGTGGCAAAGTAGGCAAGGTGCAAATAACCTAAATCGCGTAAGTGAAATGTTAGGAATGTAAGTGCTATCAACGTACCAGTCGAGGAGAGCTTGTCGTTAGTAGGCGCGACCATCTTGACGCACTTGGGCAGATCCTCATGCCATTTCCGAAGCTTCAACTGGACGTTTTTCGCCCGAGCCAGAATTAATTGTGTCGAGTTCTTGCCAGCATTTGCAAAATCCTGTATCGCTGTTTGTGTATAGAACGTGTCCATAACTTCGGCCATGATCTGCGTCAACCCGATCATCTGCGCAAAAAGGATCTGACCACGCTCGTTGTCGTCCTGGTCGTCTTCGTTCTCCGTGCGTTTACCCTCCGGACTGTCGCCCTCTTCTCTGAAATCTTCGTCTGTGATTGGTTGCACAGCCCAATTTGCACCAAAAATATGCGACGGGCGGCCGTGAATCAACGAACTCCACTTGTCCTGCATATACAAAGCCCAGGCAATTCGCTTCCTCAAGCCACGCTCCCATACTGGGATAGACCAGGAGGAACAATCTAAATGAAGACCCAGTTCTTGACCAATAGCAACTAGCTGCGTTGTCAGACTCCAAGAATCTGCTTCTGGCCGTTGCAACAAAAGGAGACCAGCCTGAATGGTGGAAAGTTTCGGCCTATCCATTGCGAGAGAAAGAGACTTCATAGCAACAGCTTCGAGACGAGAGGAATCGGGTTTGGGATACGCTGCAAGTTTCGGGTTATATGACCACCAATTAAGAGCGAGAATGTACATTCCAGCGATCAGAGAAGGTGCAAAGGAGCGATCTCCACTTCGATATCTCTCGATGAATAGATGCTTTTGGATGATGGGGAAGTTTGGATGCACGATCCGGAAGTACAGTTCGAGCAGGGCAGGGCCATGGGGATGGACAATGTGCTCGACCTGCCTCAATGACTCGACCTCATCGGCATAGTCTTGTGTGTTTTCGTCAGGGAGCATGATGAAGCATTCATGGTCGTTCACTCGGCGAAGAGTACCTAGATCAAAAGTAGACTCGTTCCGGGTATCGAATTGCGATAGTCCGATCAATAGAGAGTCGAATGGAGAACTGAGGCCGATATATCGACTATGTTGACGTCGCTGTAGTCCCAATGTTTCGCCCAAATGGGGAAGATAGGAATGGGCCAATGAGGATTGAGGCGGTGGAGGGCTTGGCGCAGTGGCGGTGATCGTGGGCGTCGGCAGCGCTAGTGGGGGCGGCTCTGCGTCAACGGATCTACTAGCTTGGGTTAGCCACAGCTGCGGCGCCTATTTGCACGCGACAATGGAAGGAGGTATAATATGATAAATGCATCATTCAATAATGATGGGAAGTAAAGAAAAGAAAAGATGCCAGATGCAGCTTGGTTGTAGAGTGCCGTGGAGAGTGCTAGCTGCAGTGAGGGGTAACAATGATGCTCACGAGCCTGGACATTCGCCGAAACATACTGGGCATTCTCCATTATGACGTAGGGAAAGTGAAGACAACGATCAGAATGAACGGAGAGCGTAGACGTACCTTTTCTTCGTGTTGTTTGGTGAATCCTTCTTATCGGCGGGGTCCACGACCTTGCGCTTCCTGGGCAGTGGGCTTTGAACAAAAGTACACTCTTGCTTGTGGAATTCGCACAGAACACACAGGACGGCACCCTCGTGTATCACGCAACGACTCTTCCTCCTCCGGCAGGCGTCACAGGGTCTCTCTCTTCTTGTGCGGATGTTGGCGACCGGGCCGACGGTGTTGGAGACGGGCTTGCCAGAGGGGAGGTTCTCTTTGCCTGGGGAGGGTTTCTGTTGCTTGCGAGGGCGGGCGGCAGCGATGGGGATAGGAGTAGGACGTGGCATGGCGGGCTGTATCGCCACGGCGGTAGACATGTTGATAGCGGTGGGCGACGCCGGGGACAGATGCGAGCTACGTAGCGATGGTTCGAGATAAGGAACGAGCAGCGTCACAGGCTAGGGTCGACCAGGAGGCCGGGAGAAATAGGATAAGAGTCGACTGCATGGAATGCGGGTAAGCGGGTTATTCATGAGCGGGCCGAGCAATTGCTTGCTTGCTGGCTGGTTGGCAATGGGGTTGGGTTGTGGGGTGGGGAGATAGACGGGGGTGGAGGGAATGGGAATAAGTTGTAGGAGAGGAAGGCAAGATTAGGTAGGTTGGCAGGTAGGCAGGCGGGTAGAAAGGCAGCCAAGCTCGGGCGATAATCAGGGAAGGGAAAGGAAAGGAATAGGAAAGATGGTCGAGCAACATGGGGAGAGGATCAAAACTAACCAGTTACACAAGAGTATGTGTGATGTATTGTCCGTATGTCGGATGTGAGGTATATGGCCAGATCGGGATGTGGGCTGCGCTTATCGCGTGGGTGGATAATGCGATATTGTTGATTCGGTACCACCACGAGTATATGCCTTGTGGAAGTGGAGTGGAAAAGTAATAAGAGAAGAAGAGGGGAGAGTCGAAGAATGACGGTAACGTAAAACGTTAGGATTGAAGGCGCGATGTAGGTAAGAGCAGGTAGTAAGTAGTGTTGATATGTAGATAAGTGGTTATTTCCTGAATGAATGCTAACGCGCACTTGTAAGAGGGATTTGGTAATGGCGTAACAAGAGTGGTGGAGCCTTCCGCGGTATCGGCCTAGCCAGGGACGGACGGCGTAGGCTGAGATGGAGCTGGAGCTGGAGCTGGAGCTAGAGCTTGAGATGGAAGGTTCCGATATCAAGGGCCAAGGTTTCCTGTTCGGGCAGAGAGCAGAATGAGGTGGTAGATGCTACGTGCCGTCATTGAAGGTCGGAACGGAGAGGGCGCGGCGCAGACTGGGGTTTGGTCGATTGCGGCGCAAGCGAGCGCGGCGAATGTGGTGAAGAGGATCGATGCTCTTGGAATTGATGATGAGGATGCGAATGGTGACTAGGAAGTGCCTGTAGTAGTGGATGGGAGCAGTGGCATAACTGGGGTGCGTGGGCGAAGAAAGTGGGAGGCCGAAAGGATGGCGGTGGAGGAGGAGGAGGAGGAGGAGGAGGAGGAG